GTGAGGGTTCCCTCTAGCATATAAGGGCATTAATCCCTTCATGGGAGCTCTGCAAAGGCCCCATCTCCTAATACCATCAGCTCGAGAACTGAATTTCTACATACAAATTTGAGGGGACATAAACATTCAGTCCATTTTATTCACCCATGGACCCCTAATTCATGTCCTTCCCACATGTAAAATGCATTCCATCCTGGTAGCCCTCCACCTCTTAGCTTGTTTCAATATTAACTCAAAAGTCTAAAGTCCAAACAACTTTCTATTCCAACAGGAAGAGGAGGAAGGTGAAGAGGCATCCTCAGCTGATGTCTTGGGTGTTGATTGCTTGCATTGTGTTTTGAAGGAGCCAACCTACAGTGTCCACCTCAGGTACAGTGAGAGTCACTGGCCCAAACAGTGATTGAGAAGCTGTAAGGGCCTGAAGAATACACGTTTGCTGTGGACCCCATACAATGATAAAAGGAAGGAAAGACAAAAAGAAAATTGGTGATTTCCTTGTCTGCTAATGCCCTAGAAGCCAAGTTTGAGCTGTGTTTGGCGTCATCTTGAATTAATGCCAAGGCCACGAAAGGCCAGGTAATCTAATTGTCAACTTGACTAGAATAAGAATCTCCTGGAAAAGTGACTGGATTGTGAGAGCATTGACCTCATCAATGGGTTAATCCATTGATGACTTTGTAGATGAATGGGCTAATAGGAAGTGAGGCTTTGTTGGAGGAATAGGTCCCAGGGGCATAACCTTGGGCCTCTTCCTCTGGGACTCTTCCCCTGCTCTCTAGTTCTCAGATGCCATGAATTGAACAGCTTTCCTCTACCACGTGTTTCTACCATGTTCTTTCTACCTTGATGCCAGCTGAACATAGATTGAAACCTGAAACCATGAGCCAAATTAAACCTCTGCTCCTTTGGGTTGCAGGTGTCAGGTACTTTGTCCTGGCAACAGAAAAGGTGACCAAATGAGGCCCATTATAAAATTCTTAGCAATGGGATTTTGCTGTGTTCCTGTAGAAAACAGTGAATGTCACAGGAAGCCTGAAGAGCATTTCATCTGTTGAATTCACAAGTCTGGAGACAGAAGAGCATCTTAAACACTAGGGTATACTTCCTACTAGCGATGTACTTATCAGACTTCTAGGGCAGCACTTATTAGGTGACTCTTGGAGGCCAGGAAAACCCAGATCAGCACATTGAATTGAAATACAACAGCATCATGTAAGTGAGCGTGGAGGAGAGGCTTGGTATCAGGACTTCATACAAGCTTTGCTTAAATAAGCACCCAGTCTAAAGTATCCACTCACCTTCCTCACACTGTTTCTCATTATCACATTGTATTTCTTGAATCATTACTGAAATTGTTTTTTGTCTCTTTCCTCCTTTGCCATTTAAAACTTAATTCTAGGTCTAGGGGTGTAGCTCAGTGGTAGAGTGGTTGCCCAGCACTTATGTCCTACATTCAATTCCCAGCATTCCAAAAATCACAGCAAAACAAAACAAAAACTTAATTCCAGAAGATCATAGATCTTGTGAATCTTATTTACAGCTATCAGTCTAGTTTCTTGAAAGTGCTGGCCCCGTAACAGATGTAAAGGAACATTTTGAGTGGCTTTTTATCACTTACATATTTTTCTTGCATTAAAGCAAGATCAGAGTGATTACATCATACCCATTTCTTGCTTTTCCATTCAAATGTCCTTGACCGACAGTAGTATTTCAACCTAAGCCTTGGATATGGTTAGCATGTTTGTGAAATTGTTGAAATCTGTGTAAAAGAATTAGATTAAAAGAAATAATTGTCTAAGCATGTTTGTGCCATACTGAAGCTAGTATTTTAGATGTAGAATGTATTGTCTTTGTAAAACTACCAATAAGTGACAAAGCAGTGATTTTTAAAATTTTACCCAACAAATGTTATTTAAATTGGGATATTCCATTTGTTGTGTAGGTTTTGTCTTTGAACATGATCTGCTATTTAAACCACAAAGGGGCAAGAATGTGCCACACCATTGGTGCAGATGTGGGTACCTAAAGCCCAGTGAAAACTATGAGAACTCCTAAAGTGGCTTTCTGCAACAAACATACCACACACTCCCAGCTTTCTTATTTGAGTCGATTCTTCATATCTGTGGGTTCCACATCAACACATTCTACCGAGGGTCGAAAATATTTTGAAAAGTTGCATATGTATTTTATTGAATATGTACAGACTTTTTTAGTCCCCATTCCCTGAACAACATAGTTTAGTGACTATTTACATAGCATTTCTGTTCTATTAGGTGTTGTAAGTAATCTAGAGATGATTTCATGTGGTTAGGGATGTTTATAGCATATACGCAAATATTATGCCACATTTATATAAAGGACTTGAACATGCTTGGATTTTGGTTGCCAGGGTGATCCTGGAACCAATCATCTGAGGATACTGAGGGTTTACTGTAGGGGGAAAAGTTTATTCCTTTTTTTAGATCCATTTCTTTTCTTTTTTTTTTTTTTTAGGTACCAGGAATCGAATTCTTGCGAGGCAGGTGGCAGAACTACTGAGCTAAATCCCCAGCCCTAGATCCATTTCTTGTACTTTGTCTTCTCAGCTGCACTTAGATATTTTGCTATGAGAATTTTCAGTATAATAATAGCCAGCATCTTCAAGAAATTGTGTTCTGGCATAACACTGGCTTGTATTTAGTTGAAATGGTCTAATAAAAAAGGCAAAGAAAGCCACTGACAAGACACGTGGTTGGTCCACTAGAGGGCAGCAAGTGTAAATTCGATTTAAATTTGCCCTCAGGAAGGGGGCTTTCACAAACATTTCTATTACAAGTAAGTTTTCCTAAATAAAGTCACTCAATTTAATTCACTGACGTAAAATAATGTATGTGTATGTGCCTCATTAGGTTGAAAACAAAATGAGGATAGAATCGGTTCTAGTCCCAGCACTTTTGCTAATGTGTGATTTGGAACAATCTAGAATTTGCCACTCTGGTACATTTTGTATATAAATATGGAAAATATGATTCTTAAAGTTCTTTTCAACTCAAATTCCATGATTTTATGATTTACGATTCTATTTCAATCCTTTTAAAGTCTTTTATTAGGCTCTTAGATTATTTGATCAACCATGATGTGGCATCACAGTAATGGAAATTTTGTTTGGAAAAAACCATCATTATCTCATGGAAAATTTAGATTCCTGAAATGTGTTGACTCACCTTCTTGGGGAAATCTGCTTGATAAAATGACATGTGTATAATCTAGGTACAATAATGATTGCACTATTTTCTGGAATAGAGGCTTGTTGTTTAAATCATCAGCATAATGTTTTTATTTTTAAAAACAGAAAAAGAAAAGCTCACAGTATTATATATAACTATTTTTTCTCACTTTTCATGCATTTACCTTTTCAAGTCTGACATACATAACCTCAGTATTAGCTTACCAAAATTCTGAAATCACAAATGTTATACATTTTAAAAATAACTATGGGCCGGGATTTAGCTCAGTGGCTCTGCCACCCGCCTTTAAAGTGCAAGGTCCTGAGTTCAATCCCCGGTACTAAAAAATAAATAAATAAATAAATAAAAATAACTATTGGCTTGTGGAACAAGGAAATAGTGTCTCTGAGTAGGTAAAAGAATGAGTTAGATGTGGACTACATCATCACTCACATCATCACCACGACAAGCTTCTGGATGTGGTTGATTTCAACTTCAATCAATGGTCACCATTGTAAATAGCCCACATTCAGTGAGCTGTAGTTGAAATGGAAACTCTTTTCTAAACAACACTTTTCACGAGCACCTATGGTTAAAACCCTCAATAAGTTTAGTGAAAGCAGAAACCATTTCTGAATCCAGAGGGATCATGTAGCCATGGTTAACACTGTGCCACCTATTTTAATATTTTCACCTAGGACACATTTTCCTCTTGTATACATAAGAAAGGAAGAAGTATGCTTGGTTGGCGGTGAATATGAGGGATGAAAGAAAATCGTCCTTTAAAAACATAGTAATCTAGGAGACCCAGGGATTTAGCTCAGTGGCACCACGCCTGCCTTGCAAGCTCAAGGTCCTGAGTTTGATCCCTGGTACTGGAAAAAAAAACACCCATAGTAATCTATCACTACCAGAAGCCAGAAGTGGAACAAGGTCGTACCTACACTCCATATTGCCTGCCCTGGCAGGTTGGTTCACTTAGTGCCAACTGTTTCTGTGGTTGTGAGGCCACTTAGCTTTTTCTGTCTCAAACCCTCCAGTACAATTCAGTGTCTGATGTTACTAGCATGAGGTAATAAATGACTCATTTCAACTGTGAAGACACCATCGCAGAATCAACCATTTCAGAGGTCGAAGACTCACCATTTTCATGCTTTAGTCAGTCCACTGTGGTGTGACTTACATAAGAGTAATGAGTGAAGTACTGATGGCCTAGGTTTAAATCTTGGCTCTGTTCTTTATTCTGTGCCTCAATATCCTCTTCCATAAAGTGGGGATAGCAGTGCATACTATTTAGGGTTGTTTTGGGAATTACACAAGTATGAACTTGTGAAACTATTAAGATTATTTTTTAATGCAGGATATTAAGATGATTTTATTTTCTTGGTTTTCCAGCAAGACGTAATTATGGGTATCAGATCAGAATTCCCACTGATGACTCACTGTTGACCTTAGACAAGTTCTTTCACATTTCTTGGGTTCACTTTCTAATCCAGGGTCTTAATGCTTCAAAAGTAACGAAGGCTTTAAAATGGTCTCAATGAATGTTGTGGAATGAGCAAAGTTTAAAAGGAAGATATTCTAACATTGCATTAAGACTTACTTCTAGAGTAGTGTGGTACATATGAAATGCGGTCAGGTAGCTCCATTAGGAAACACTGCAGAACATCCCTTTGATTTAAAGACTCTTCAGGTATGTACACACACACACACACACACACACACACACCCTTCTATGCTTTACTGTGATTGGCAATCCAGAATTATCTCTGCCAACATTGGATAAAGGTCTAGTTAGAAAAAAACACGTTTATTTTGTACGGAGCGGCGGTCAGTGTGCGAGTCCCTGGCGGGCTGGTCCTCAGCCCAGCAGAAGCGAGCGCCGGCCCAGCGGGCGGCCCGTGTCCTCGGCCGGGACGCGCACGGTCAGGCGGCACACCGGGTCCCCCGCGGCCGCCTCGCAGCACAAGTCCGAGTCCAGAGCGGCCCCGCGACTCGGGCCGAGCACCAAGCGGTGCTGCTCGCGCGTGGTGCCCGGCGGCCGCAGGCCCAGGCGGAGGCGGCGGCCGGAGGCTCGGGTCTCGGGGGCGCCCGCGGCCGGGCTCTTGGTGCGCAGCAGCCGCAGGCGGAGCCGCCCGCCACGCGCGCAGAAGTCGGCGTCCAGGGCCTCGGCGCCCTCGGGCTCCAGGCGCTCGGCGGCCGGGGTCGGGGACCGCGCGCGGGCGTCGCGCTCGTCGCCGTCGTCGCCGTCCCCGCTGGAGACCGAGCGGGCGCGGGCCGGGCCGCGACTCCTCCGGGCCCGCAGCGCGCGGCTGAGCAGCCCGTCGGGGGCGCGCAGGAGGCGGCGGCGGCGGCGGTGGCGAGGCCTTGGGACGGGCATGTCCCGGGGCGGGCAGGGAGCGGCCGGGGCTGCGTGCGGGGCCCGCGGGGGCGCGAGGAGCGCGTCTCCGCCGCCGCCGCCGCCGTAGGTGCGGGCTCGGGGGCGCGGCGCGGGGTCCGCGAGGAAGAGCGACTCCTTGCGGCGTGTGTGCGGGCTCTCGAGGAGCGCGCAGAAGCCGTAGGCGGTGCGGGCGCGGGGTAGGTGCGGCAGCGACAGCGCTGCCTGCGAGCGCGGGTCCCAGTCGGTGCGGCTCGCACCCTCCTCCATCCTGGCCTCTTCACAACAAGAGTTCCGGAGAGCATCCAGGGCCAAGCGGGGCGCGAGCCTCGGCGGGATGCAGAACTCGGGGATGCGGTCCGGGGTGAGCACGTTCGCGCACGCGGCGGGAGAGCGCGCCCTGGAGCGGTGGGCGCGAGTCCGGAGGATCCGATCCCTGCCCCAAAGGAGCCGCTCCAGGCACCACATGGGAGGCAGGTGCGGGGGTCGGGGCGACCCTCTGTGAAGACAGTCTGCCTGCAACACACAGATGCACCCCAACTGTCAGCGAGCCGTGCAGAGCGCAGCACTTTCTGGTCCTTTCTGTTTCGTTTGTCTCCCCCGGGACAGGGCAAACTGAAACTTACGCCCCTATTGTAAACTGTTTTTCAGTGATGGAACATTGTTTTCCTCCTGTCCTGTCTCAACTCCGTTCTCGCGTGCACTTCGGAACGTGTAGCTTTTATGCTCCACCTGCAAACTTTGGTTGCCCTATAATTGGTGCCAAGAAGTGCTTGGCTTCGTGTATTCGACCCCTAAATCCATAAGGGACTCTTGCATTCCAGCCTCCAGCGAGAATTAAAATATTTTTAAATCTCCTCTAGGAAGCTGGCTTGTTCTCCCTTTTTAGACTCACAGATCCTCAGAAGAGCCCTCCCCCTTTCCTGGGAACTAAGCACGCCGTAGGCTCCCTCTTGTTCGGGATGTTACCTTGTAAATTGCTTCTCCAAACAATGTCAGGTGACTTCGCCCTGTTCTGCCCGGGTCGCCCACCCGGGGAGGCACACAGCTTCCAGGAAATTCAAAGCACGCGCCGCGGGTTCAGCACCCGTGCCCGGGACAGCTGGCCTGAGCTTTTATACCAGCAGGTGTTAGCTGCACTGCCTGGTAACCTGATGCCAGGCCCTGCCCTGTCCCTCTGCCACGTGGCGGGATTTGCTGGGCAGACTGGAACCTGTTCTCCTGCTTTGGGTGAAGGTATTCTCCCAAACCTTGTATGTGATTGTTTCCTGGTGCTGCAGTTTGTTTCCTGTCGTGCTAAAAGAGGATTAAGCAGACTATACAGCGGGGTCATTTTGAGGATCAGAACACTAATGGTGAATTTGAGGAAGCACTCTGCTCCCACCTTTCTAAAGAAGACAAAAGCAGGGTTTGTCCTCTTCTTATTAATATCCTTCCCTAAATCCATCCTTTTAGTTGCCCAGCTTTTTAAGTTGTCTGCTTGCTTTCTGGTTTTCAATTCTTATTTTAGGTGCTCATTGTTGAATTTAAATCACTCTGGGTTAGAGGAAACTTTATGGGGTGCTGCAAGATGTCCATATCTTGACTGGGGTGGGTGAAATGGGTGTAACCACATATAAAAAAATCATCTAATGTACACTTAAGATTAGGGCCCTTTATTGTACGTACATTAAACTTTAATTTAAAGAAAACATAACCTACTTCTTGAGCTATGTGTGACTTTTGCTTAGGAAAATATACTCCTTTAGTCAGGGTTGGTGGTGCATGCCTGTAATACCAGCACTCAAGAGGCTGAGGCAAGAGAATCGCAAGTTCCAGGCCAACCTGGGTTATTATAGGAAGATACACTCCTGCATACATGTGGGCTATTGGAATCATCTTTGGAGGCACTCTGACCATATCTGGTCTTTGTAAGATATGCCAACCAGAAAGACCCCTTTTCTTTCATTTGCAAACTAACTTGGGTTCATTCTGTAAGAAAGTGCTTCCGCCTAGCTCGGGCTGATAAAGAGTTGAGGCATTTTCTTCAGGGTTTGGTGTATGATATTTCTAACATGTTACCTTGCAAATTGCTTCTCTAATGTTGAATGAATTCACCTGCATGTGTGCAAAGGTGTTTTCAGAATAGGGCGTGTGTATTTGTTTCCAGAGCACAGTTGCTGTGCTAGATGATTTATATAGTCTCTAGAATTGTCACAGAAACCCTGTGAATTCTGATTGTCCTTGTTTTATAGATGAAAAACTGAGTTTGAGAGGTCAAATAACTTATCCATGGTCACAAAGTGATGGGAGAGGGCGGGGACAATACCCACTCATGGGCAGTAAATGTTTTGGGGATTAAGTTCAGATACTTGTAATAATGTAAAATATGCACCAGGCTTGGAACATGGTACATGCTAAATACATAGGAGCAGCAATTATTATTATTGATAAAGACAGTAGGAGTATTGCATGATGGTTGAGAAAACTGGGTCTGAACTCATGTCTAATTTTGATTCCAGAGTGGTAGCTTACCATGAGCCAGTTATTTAACATTTCTGAGCTTCAGTATCAAATGTAGAATTGATAATAGTGTTTACCTATAGGGTTGTCATGGTAGAAAATAAGATAATGCATGTGAACTGTTTAGCATAGAGTTTGACATGCGCATGTCAGATATTATATTTATTATTACAGAAGAAAACAAATGCTGATTTGTTCGTTCATTCATTCATTCATTCATTTATAGCAGTTGAATACTGTCTGGGTCCCTGCCACCATGCTTGGCAGATGGGCCCAGGCTGTACCAGATCATATCAATTATGTTCATGTGTCAGAAGAAGAATTGAACAATGAAGATGAAATATTTGAATTCTGTCTGCTGAGGCAGAAGAGACTTCTGAACATCATTTCTTCTAAGGACTAGCTGTTTTCTATCTTGATACTACCTGTTTTTCCTGGCCCAAATTCTTATGCCGAGTGAAGCTAAATCTGTGGAGAATGATTACCAAATTATACACTTGAAGGTCAGGAACATATGTTCTAACTCAACTTTTCTTTAGAAACAAGATGTTGTTAGCTCTGCAAGAACGCAGAAAGCCTTTGGTTAAAATGATGAGGAGTTGGCTGAGATATTATTAATCAGGTTCATTAATCTGTTCGAGGGCAAGTTGTAAAATGGGGTAGTGCTGTCTACCACATAGGATGTAAGACTGCTGTGAAGATTAAAAAGATATCCATGAAAATTGCTAGCTGGCACCAAGTGGTGGCTAACAGCTGTTATTATTATTGTTGTTGTTATTGTTGTGCATATTTCCTTGGCCAGGAATTAGCTGATTCACATGGATACTTTTAAAAAACGTTTCTCTGAACAACCAAACAAAGTAGGTTTGCCATTTAAAAAAATTTATTTATTAATGATTCATCTTCTTCAGTAACACCTTCGAAGCATTTCCTGTACAGTACTTACTGAAAACAGCAGAGATGTGCCCTGAGTGCCTGAGCCCCTGTGACCACATTAAGCCTTATTTTTACTTCACTCGGAAGCATGAGCCAGCCAGTACTTGGAAGGATGGGTAACAGGGTCAGCCCTTGGGCCTGGAACACGAAAACTTACTCAGAGGAATACTGTGGTCATCCTGAGCTCACAGCTGTAGCCATAGGAACATCCAGTAATGGAGCTGGAAAACAATTCTGTGACATGAACATAAACAGATTGCGTGTCATTGAGGCTGGAGCTGCTCTGAGAGTAAAAGGCAATTGAATATTTAAAAGCAGAATTCTTGGGAGGGAGGCTGGAAAGAGGATGGTCAAAGGGAACAATGTTAGATAAGAGGCGAAAGTTCTGCTGGTCTATGGCACAGTTGGCTGAATATAGTTAACAGTGATGCCCTGTAGATCTCAAAATACCTAAAAGAGGAGATTTTGTATTCATCATAAGGAAATAAAAAGTTTAAGGTGATCAATATGCTAATTAGATCAATATCCTAATTAGATCATTATACATGAATCAAAACATTACATTGTACCTCACAAAATGTACAATTACTTTGTGTCAACTAAGTCAGCAAGTAATTTTAAAAAGCAGACTTACAAAAATGATACAGAGGGGGTTGGATGTCAAGGAAATCAAGAACAGAGTTTAAAACCAATAAAATAACTGGTTTTCTGACTTATGCATCTCATTTGATCTGATAGAATATGGAGTGCTAGGAAGAGCATACACAGGCCAAGGAGACAGGACACATGGGTTTTACCTCTGACACTCACTTGTGGGCCACCAGACAAGTCCCTTAGTTCTCTGTGACACTCTGTGTCTCCATCTGTCATGTAAAGGGTTGGATTCATCAGATGATCGCTAACTTCCCCCTGGTGCTAATACTGTGCTTTTTCCCAGCTCACTTTTCTAAATTTTCAGTTCATGCTATAGTGGCTTATGCTCTGGATTTTTCAGCATCTCTTTTTGTTCCCAAATCCTTCTTGCTTTTCTCCAAAACTCTTGGGTTGCGGGTTGGGGTGTGGGTGTCAGGTAAAGTTAGAATTTAAAAAAAAATTTTTTAAAAGAGCTGCTGATTTTTTAAAAGTATTGCCCAATTTTGACTTGTGTTTAACAGAAATATTTTGCTTGTTTTCAATACTCAGTTCCTCATTGTAGTTTGGTTTTGTAATTGCCTTTGTTGTTCTCATTGCCAATAAGCCAGAATAAAGGTAAGAATTATAATTCTGAGGATGTTCATTTTCTTCAGTTCATCTCAGTATGCAATTTCTGGAAAAGGTCTGTACTTGAGGGTACTGATGGTGTTTCTTGTTTTAAATCAAGACTGTAAATTTCTGACTTCTTAAAAATACAGAAGATTCAGGGCATTACTGGAAGCCCATAACAATTTCTCAAACCAAGCTGAAAATGGAAGATAGTAAAATTTGTTCATTACTATATGATACCATTATTTGTAGTAAAAAGTTTGAGCTAAAGTTTCCACTTTCAGGCTTTTATCCTGGCCTTATCTTTGCAATGTAAGATCACTGAGAATTACTAATAGCCCAGTGGTGATTAAACTATATAATTATTGACAGAGAAAATGGTGTCAGTGCTCAGGGAAGTAATACCTGCTGTGTGATTTTTAAGTAAATCACTTAATATTAATTGCCTCCACCATTTTCTATGATGTGTGGATAATACTACCTGACTTACATCACCAACTGTGACAATTAAGATGAGAGGGTTAACTTGGCTTTGGTCTTTGGTAAGTGGTTGGTGGAGCACACTTCTGAGTGTGTCCGGGTGTGTCTGAGGTGTGACCTTGGGGTCTATATCTGGTCTCTGTTACCTTCCTCTCTGGCACTGTTCCCCTGCTGTGCTTACCAGCTGCCAGGAACTAAGTAGCTTTGCTCTACTATGCCCGTCTTCCATGACCCTTCTGCTTTGGAACCAGATGACTATAGACTGAATCCCCTTATAATGAGTCCAGTTCAACCTGTCCTCCTTTAACTTGTGGGTGTTGGGTATTGTGTCCTGCAGCAGGAGAGCTGATTAATACACAGATCTTTAGTGAGGATTGTATGAAAATGCCTATGTTGGCATAAAGGACAAGATAGCTTATGAGTTATGACTAAAATGTAACAAAATGATATGAACATGTAAGAGCACATTTACATATTCTTTCAAAAGTTTACTATAGAAGTATAAGGAATGAGTATGGAAGGCATTAGTATCATTTGTGTCTCTGATTAGGTTGTACCTTCTGTTCCACTCATGTGACCTTGCTATACTGCCTGTGATATCTTTCATGTCATTTTGCACTTTATTCGTACATCCTTGAATTGGTTGTTTTTTTTTTTATGGTGCATGCCTTACCTCAACTGGAACATATATTATTTCTTTACATTTGTTTCAGTGTATAGACCGTGTGAGTGTACATGGGGAGAATTGTTAGGGGGCACGACTAGAAAGAACTTGGAGACAAATTCTAGGGAGGGTGTTCTACACACTGGGAAGTTATTAGATATTTTTGAGCAGGTGAGAAACCTGAGTCACTTGTTCTTTGGGGAAGTCTGATGTCAGTGTGAAGAATAGACAGGAGAAAGGAAAAAGTGGCGGTTAGGAGACCAATTAGGAGGCAACTGCATGGTTTCACAGGGGTTTAAGAATTTAGGAAAGAAGACAAAAGCAAAATAGGGTTGGCTGGTAACTGATTGTGCATGGTGAAAGAGAGAAGTCCAAAGTGCCTTGTGGGCATTCTGTCTGTGACAGGGCAAAAAAAAAAGCAAATGGTTAAAGATTTATTTTCTGTGGCAGGAGTGGAAAATGGATAGCATTGGTTAGTCCTGTTTTTTTATTTACAAAACACTGCTTGTGGCTGTTTTTACCTTTTCTTCTTTATTTCTAAAGGACTCTGCATTTAAAAAATGTTTCTTTTGCATCCTATACAAACTTACATTAAGAACAATACAGTCTTTCAGATATTACTTCTACCTCGTAGCAAAGCATTTAATAAATGCTTGTGACTACAAGTAATCTTAGCATGTCTTAGGTTTCTGTTTACTGGATTTCAACAGCTTTTTAGGAAAAAAAAATCCTCCAGCTCTCTAAAGAGAATTGGTCTATCAGCAGGCAGTTAAATTTCATTAGGTTGAAAGTCCTTACAGTATAAATTTTGGCCTGCTTTGAAGTCTTGGCATAGCAGAGCCAGTTCGAAGAGAGCAAGAGGGAAAAATATACAAGCTGGTAATCCATAGTTATAAAAGAAGAAAAGAAAGCATTCCGTTTTGATCTTTATTTCCGCTAGTAGGCAGACAGCTATGAAGTGGGTGGTGAATTATGGAGGAGTGAATCATAGAGAAAGAAGAAAGGGTTTCCAACCTAGTGCATCCTCAGTTCCCACTTTCTCTGCCATCCTGACGCGGGTTTGTCCCCTCGTACTTTTAAATTATTAAAGTGTGTTTTCAATAAGCAAAAAGAAGGGAGCGACCCGCGATTCCTGACTTCTGAAGGGTCCTCCGCGCGCACAGAGGTTCGCGCCACAGCGAACGCAAGGCCCACGCTGCCCGCAAGGCCCACGCTCCGGAGGCGGCGCGCGTGCGCGGACGGATCACGCGCCGCGCGGGGTGGGTGGGGCGCCGCCGCAGGGGCCGTCTGCCCACCCGCGTCACCGCCCTCCGCTGTTCCGGCTCCGTCCTACCAGCCACAGCCCCGCCATGGTGCTGGAGTCGGTGGTCGCGGACCTGCTGAACCGCTTCCTGGGGGACTACGTGGAGAACCTCGACAAGTCGCAGCTGAAACTGGGCATCTGGGGCGGTACGCGCAGGCGGCCGTGCGGGCCTCGGGACGGGCAGGCGGGCGGAACCAGGGCCGGGACCTCGGCCGGACGCTAAATCGTTTCCCTCCGCCGGCGAGCCGCACCCGGAAGGGGACGGGACCCTGCGGCTCGCAGCTGCCTTCGGACAGCTTAGGGGCGCGAACCCGCGGCCTGAGAGGGACAGCGGGCTGGGGGAGGCCCGCGGGGACGCCTCTGAGGGCTGGCGGCTCCCAGAAGGGAATGTCTCCCTCCTTCAGCGCCAAGAGCACTTCCAGTTTTGTTTCGCACCAATAGAGAGAAATTGAAACCCCAATCCCCATCATCATTGACCAGGTGCATGCCGGCCAGGAAACGTCCGCCAGCCTTCTTATCCTCGAGATTAAGTGTACAAAAGTATATTCTAAGTAGTATACTTTAGAGAGTTTAATTAGGGCTGGGGGTGTGGCTCGCGGGAGGGCGCTTGCCTAGCTTGCCCGAGGCCCTGGGTTCCAGCCCCAAGCAAGGCAAAAAAAGTTTCATTATGTGCAAAAAAATTTGTGTTAAACTTTAGGGATACTGGGAATAGTTTCTCATTCTGTGTAAGATTAGGGGATTTTGTCAACTTCAGTGGGAAATACAAAAAACTACTCAAATGGATAGATCTATTTTTAATTCAGTAAAGGAATAGTTATGGACCTGCTCTAAGAGGGGAGCTGCTAGTTAAGATTACTCTTGATCGCTTGAAATGTGCTGAGTGCGGAAATGTGGTCCAAGTATAACATGAATACCTGCTTTGAATATGAGCATTTTTCATCATACAGCAGGAGAAAAATGTACTCAGTTGTTGCTTTTTTTTTTTAAATCTTGCTTAGGTATTGAATGACGACATTTGAATACATTGGGCTGAATTAAATATATTACTAAATTATATTTCCCAGTTTTTTACCTTTTTTAAAATTTAGCCTAGTTCCTAAAATTTATAGTTACATATGTGCATCACATATTTACATTGGGTAAAGGTGTTACAAAACCAGGAGAACCGCCCTGGGTTGTGGAGGAGCCTGTTTTTTTTTGGTTACCGATCATTTGATTGCTTTACTGTGGTATGTCCATGCATACTTTGTTTACTCCTCCCCCAAATATAGTGCTACAGAAGGGGAAGAAAAAGTAAATGTTTGGTGCTTCTTGCAGAGGTGTTTTTTCAAGATACTGGCAATAATACCAGTTATTCCATATAGGTAGTCAACATTTGAAATTTGAGAAAGCACTGCTTTAGCAAATGTGAAATTTGAAAAAGCTCTGGGTTCTAGGCCTAATGTTTGTGTTGGACAAAACAAAATCTTACTAGGCCTTAGTTTCTTCTTAAAGCTTCACAGCAGAAATGTTTTTATATTCTGAAAGTTTAAATACTGTCTGACAATATGATGTTCCAGTGTAATTACTACCCACATTTTAATAAGTCCTAATTGATAGGTCTCCCACGACCTCAGCAGCTATTATGTATAGTTGCTGCCCTCTTCCTATGGTGCCTTGCCCCCTCCCCCGTGTGACGTCGTGCCAAGATGGCTGCTCCCACCAAAGAACAAACCCTTCTTCCCAGCATGCCCCTGTTCCCGCCTAGAGAGTAACCTAGTACTTGCTCACCTCCCACCGCCACTAGTCACGGGGCTCCTCCATTCCCTAGTCACTACCTCACTCAACCCCGCTTCAGCCCCTACAAAGCTTACCCCGGTCTCTATGAAAGACTCTTCCTGCCCCGGCCATATTGCTTTTGTCTCTCCTTTGGTAAGAGACAGCCCGGTAGATCTGTTCCCCTAATAAGGACTTGTGGCCTGGTCTGGTCTTGGTCTTCGGCCTTTTACCTGACACTAATATTGTACTGTATTTACATCTCACATTTTAAAAAAAGTCCTTATATAGTTGAAGGTTCTTTCACCACCAAATCTCTCTCTCTCTTTTAAATTAGAGGTTGGACAAGATCCTACCTGATGGTGCTCCTAGTGTCAGTTTCTATGATTCTATCTGTAAATGTTTCTACTGTGACATTTGAATATACTGTGAAGATTTTGGACTTTTTCACAACCGAAATTAAAGTGCCATAATTTTATGTCATCCACCCCACTCCCCATCATTTTTTTGGTTTTGTTTTGGTGAGATCTAGGACCGGAGATTTGATTTTCTTTCAACCTGTTTTCTGCGTTTACTTGTTGTTGCTGGCGATCAAGCCTCAAGGCCTGTATGTCCGAGCCAGATGGTGCTCTGTACTGAGGTGCACCTGCAGTCTGGTACTATTTTTTCTTTTTTTTAGAATAAAGTATTCTGCCAGGTGCCTACATTAACTGTATAATAGGATCGAGCAAATAAATTTATTTCTTTCACAGATTGTGTTCAGTGAGTATCCACTTAAATAGTCCCTCAGCTTTATCAGTCCACAGCTCTGCTTTTATAAAGTTTTGCTTCATAATTTTGTGGTTGCTGTAAAGAAAGCTAGAAGTTAGGCACTTTTATATACAGTTACTGTTCAATATATTGTTTTTATTTCCTTTAAAATAGAAAGCAGACTGAGTTGATTTTTTTTGTTTTTTGAAAATATTGCTAAAGAAGTTTGTCTTCAAACATTTTGGAATAAACAAATGGGAATATTAATTTAAAGTGGCTAGTATTTATGACATTGTAGTATTGACAAGTTGCAAAGAATTGAAAATATGTGGTCTTAATTGAAAACTTTGCGTTAGCAAATAGGTTTACATGTTCATAGATTTGGGTCTTTCAGTTTTTTTCTTGTTTAATTTACAAATCTTCAAGAAGGGAATAATCATCTTGTAGAAATTTCACATATCTGATCTTATAATTGTTTGGCGATAACTACGGTGATACTTCTTAATGGTAGTATTTGACAAGTTTAAGGCAATTTTTTCAATGAGGGAATGACTTTGATCCCTAGGGGCATATTTGGCAATGTTCTGCCACGAAGAATTATGCAACCTGAAATGTTAGTTGAAAAACCATGGTCTAAAGAGAATACTAAGGTTGTCTTCTGCATCTGTAGGAGATGTACAGGGTGCTGAACACATTTTAGGAAGGAGTGAAAGAGGACTTAACATGGAGAGGAAACAGATGTCTTAAAAGCGATTGAAAGTTATGTTGCATAATTTTTGGGTGATTTCAGGAAGTAGCTTTAAGATTCAGAGTACTGTGTTTACATGATTTAAAGAGGATTGTGTTGTACATATGTTTGTAGATATATAGACACTCAATGACATCCATAATATAAACAATTTAATAAATAAAAAATAAATCTAAATTTTAATAAAAAAATAAAAGGATGGAGGAATTTACTGGAATGTCAGGAATCAGAATGTATGTGGTGGCTAATTGTTTTTGAATCAGAGAAGCAGTCCCTCTAAACAAAGCCCAACAAATAACTGAAGCCTTTGTTTTTCTTTTGGGTTTTATTCTTCAAGTTTTTATTAATATCAGGCAACTCTTATGTATTTTTAAATGGGTTTAGGCAGAATACCCTTTCAAAAACTTCTCATCTTTAGAAAAATGAGACCCTAATTATGTACTGGCTGTAGGACTCTGGGAAAAACATTTTGATTCTCTTAAGTCTCAGTTGCCTAATCTGTAAAGTGGATATGATGTATAAAGTGAAAATCTCTTGTAATTGTTAGTATTGATAAGAATAGTGATAATAAACCTAGCTGAGTGATGGAAAGTAGCTTGTGTTGTTTTATTTTATTTGCATAACTATCTTTCTTTTAAATTCAGACTGCTGGTGCCTTGTATTCTGTAGTAGATAGAGCTATTGTTGTATATCTAAACATTTCTTGTTTTCCAAACAAATTTCTTAAAAAGTCTAATTGCATTTGCATTTACACTTAGCAGTACTTCTGTCTGCCAGCTCGTGTGTAATTCAGGTTTGCAGAGGTTCAGAGGAGTGCCTGGTGGGCCTGTGTTGCCGGTACAGATAGGAAGATTTACCTAGGGTTTTGTTCCCCACAAACTGGCACCTGGAGATAAATTGCACAGCCCTTAGCTATTTGGGGTGTGTCCAGGGTATAATTGTTTTAAGGGTAGCATGTGTTTGGAAAGTATGTTGAAATGCCAGGTCTTTTGCAATGTAAGTAGCAGTGTAGAATCTTTGCCAGTTTGATCTTCACAGTGGTGTTTATCGTGGAGGAGCAGGAACATCCCCCAGTGAGACCTTTGGTTCTCAACTTTGATTAGATGAGTGGAATAAACTAGTGGCCATGATGTGTTGGGTGGAGGGGCGACCGAGGTGGCCTGAAACAGCAATGAGGTAGAGTGTGGTCAGTAGCTCTGCAAGTCAGGCTTCACTGTGGTGTTTACTCTACCGTCCTTGGCTGGACCCCACACACTTCCTTGTCAGTTGCCAAGACCCACAGAGCAGTGATGGCAAACTTTTTAAAGCTTTCAGGGATACAAACCTCCCACTGTGGCACATGTGCTATAGGTTTGCCACCACTACCGTAGGGTATTCCCTTATTTGAAATCCTTGCGACCAGAACTGTTTTGAATTTTGGATTTTTTCAGATTTTTGGAATATTTGTAATAATGCAATTTCTTGGGGGTTAAACACAATATTCATTTATATTTCATATATACCTTATACATATAGCCTGAGTGTTATTTTATACAAATTTACTGTGTGAATGTGTTTTGACTGTGATGCTTTTACATGGCAATATGTCAGCATTCCAAAGGTTTGGGATTTTGCAGCATTTTGGATTTTGGATTTTGGGTTAGGGATGCTATCAGTTGTGTTGGAGCAGAGCAGCATTGGGAAGGAGAATGAATCTGAAGCAGCGCTAAGAATGAGGGAACTGGGGTTCTAACTAACTGTGGTACTGCCCGGTTGTGTGGCTTTGGGCGAGTCACTGAGCAGTGACCATTGGTTTCTTATCTGTAAATCGGAGAGTTGGGCCAGGTCTCATCTTCCCTTGTTAGAACAAACGTGGAGCAGCCTGAGCCCGTCAGGAGGTAAGTGGTCCTGCACTGCCTCGGCTGCATGGTGAGAGGTACTTTTCCTGTGTGTTCTTCGCTCAGTCCTGGGGAGTTACACTGATAATTGCACATTCAAATCTATTACATTGCATTGTCTTAACAGGGAGCTGTAGGGCAGTGTGAGAATGAAAGAAAAAGTAGGTCTTTTTGTTTTTCTTCCCTTAACACATTAAAAAAACAACAACACAGAACCTAGATGTTTTTAAGCCTGAAGAATTGAAAAGTCCTTTCCTCCAGGCCAGCACCTTATGTAAAGGAGGGCCTCATTCCTCATTCACTCGTCCTGTAGTATAGAAGATAAGCAACAAGAAGCTCTTCTGGGAGCATAATATACATTATCAACTAAAGCAGTGCTTAGAAACTTAAGTTGGAAATGCCTTTTTGCATGTTTAAATAGCATTATTAAAAAATGAAAGTAGGCCAGGGATTTAGCTCAGTGGTTCCGCCGCCTGCCTCGCAAGTTCAAAGACTCGAGTTTGATCCCTGGCACCAAAAAAATAAAAAATGAGAGTATTCTGTAATAATTCTGCTAGGAAGCTGAGAGCACTGCTCACTCTCGTAAGATTGCTGCTGCATATGGGAAGGGAGAAAGTTTGGTGACTGTGCAGCTTTGGACCTTTCTTTGCCAAGACTTCCCATTTCAGTAGGGAAATGGGAGAGGAAGAGCCTGTTGTTGCTTTTTCTCTCTTCCCCTTGCTGCTCCCAGCACAGTCTCTGTCAAAAGCAATGTGGGTCGGTCGACTGGTTAACTAGAAGTTAAAGTCAGTAGCTCCTAAAAATTCATTTGAAATTTTGTTCATGAATTGCTACATTATTCATATTTACTAAAACATGTCATTCAAATAACTTAATTTCTACTTTTAAAACAATTTACCTGACTTCCTTGGCAAATGAATATGTCTGTATATTTTGTTACACTTTCAAATGAATAGAGAATGCTTACGTCACAGATACTTAAAATAAATCTTGAATAAATATGTAGCATGGTGTGTTCTTTTCACTGTTTTAGTATGTAAAGTTAGTTTCATAGTAGACCATGACATTTTTGATTTTTAATCACAGGTTTTGATGAATGTCTCCTTTTATGTAAAGAACATTGACCAAGAAGTCAGGAGACCTAGGTTCTATTCTTAGTATTGCCACAAAATTATTGGGTAACCTTGGGAAACCTCCTCATCTCCTTACACTTTATTTTCTTCATGTATAAATAGTGAGGAAAGATTAGATTTAAAGATCTGTATGGTCTTAAATAGTTCTAAAACATAGCTTGGGAATTTGTCTTTTTTTTTTTTTTAAGGAAAAATATTTTTAAAGATACTAAAAGAAGCCTTTTTTCCTGCCCTCTCCTCCATGTGTTTTCGCAGAGGCCTTGTCCTTCTGTACTTCGGCTAACAATATCCCTTGGCTGTGTGCTCCCTGTGCCCCTGCCGTACTAATTTTAGTTAACCTTTTGTTTTTGGATTTTTTCATATCTTGTAAAATGCAGAGAATAAAAGTAGAACCAACAGATACATAGGGCTCTCACTACTGAGTCTGATTCTTGTATGGCATTTTTTTCCCCTAAGGAAGTAGATTTACCTTCTGCATGAAAATCCTGTACCCTTCCTGCTCTGCTATTACAAAGAGTGGCCCTCTGAACCCAGCACTGAACATTGTAAGATGTATATGTTGGCTCTGCCACTTACAGGTTGCTGTAGTATTTTTAGACCAATCCTTTAACTTCACATTAAACGTCAGTATATCTGTATACTTTCTTTCTTAGAGTATCTGTCTTTCTGCTCAGGAGGTTGTGAGGATCCAGTGATATAATAGATCTGAAAGTGTTTTCTAAAAAAGTTTATGTGTGTACTGGAGTTGTTGTACACCATTATGATATGCATTCTAGTATATGTGTTGCTGAAGCGAGCACATGACATGCATTCCAAATCAGTCAACCCAGTATTTATGGGGTACCTGCTATGAGGGAGGTCAGGAGTTCATAGTTAGGTTGGGGGCATATATAGAGTATTAAATAGCATAAAAAAGGTACAGCCTAATCATCTATGAAAGTTTAGGGAGGTAATTTCAGGTTGTAGGTATTTAACAGCAATGTAGTATTTACATTTGTTTTGTAGATCCTTATGTATTTTATTTATTTTGTTTTTTGTTTTTTTGATACCGAGGATAGAACGCAGGACCTTGTGTTTGCCAGGCAGGCACTGTGCCACTGAGCTAAGTCCCAGGCCCACCTTATGTATTTTAAAAGGTGTTCTTATACTTAAGTAGGGTTGTTCCGTATTATTCCATTGCCATTTGATTTTTACTTACAAATAGGCTAATTTGGTTGTTTTTATGTAATTCAGCAACTTTTTTTTTAAAGACTCCAATCCTTGGTATCATTTGCCAGTTTAATTTACTTTCATTTCTGTCTTCTGGTTTGTGAATGAAGATTATTAGATAAATTTGGTCTCAGGATTTAACCTTTCAGGTTACTTCTTAAAGTCTCCAAGATTGGCTTTGAAAATTTATGTGTAACTTTTCCAAAGCATTTATAGTTTGTAATTGAGACTCATGGGGTCTCCTGAGGCACTGACCACACCTACTGCTTGTGGTCATGTGCATCCTTTCACCCCTTTACTTGGCTGTTAATCTGAAAGCTGCTGCGATTGCTCACTTCTCTGTGTTAGGGCTCATGACTCCTCCTTGAGTGCAAATAACATACAGAATGATGTTATAGTTAGGGTTTGTTAGATAGCATTCACATTTTTTTTTTCAGAGAGGAAGTACGTATTTATTTGTTAGATTCTGGATAGAAATAGATATTTGTTATTTTATGTCTGCAGGTAAGGTAGAAGATATAGGAGGAAATGACATAAAACATATTGAGGTCATGTTGACATTAGGATTTATCTTTATTTCCCCATATTTATTTCCCTTATAATTTGTATAATAATTTGATAAAATATCTGATTATGCAAGTAGAAAGTAGTAAAAAAAATAATAAAAATGCCATCCTTAATCCTACCTCCCAGTTATAATCTCTTATGAGGTCTTTGCCAGTCTTTCTAAATATACTTGTTTGACTTTGTTAGGCGTATTGCGGGTGTTCAGTGTTTCACAATCCAAGTGCCACCTGTTACTTCATCAAAGAGCCAAAATTTGCTGTAGTAGAAACAGCCTTCATTTTATAAGGACATTTTTATACTCATTATGTTAGTGCCTTAGCAATTGTTATAAAAACTTCAGGTCTAATGGAGATGACTTACGAGCACTCCTGGTGATGCCTGACCCCGATTGGAACTCGTGGGCAGGTGTGAAGGTCTCCATGTGCACCTCATATCTTGTTAGACTCCTTTGAATGACCTCAGATATGTACTAGCACTGTGCACATCCCTTCTGTTGTTTGAATAAAGTTCTTTATGTTTAGTATGATTCATTATTTAATAGATTAAAACCCAGGAATATGTGTATACTTTATATGATTTTACTGCATATACTCCTTAAGGATTTTTTTTCCAGCTGCAAAGCACATGCCCGTCTTGTAGGGTTACTTTATTAGTCCTGAATTTGTGCAGTGATGACAGCCTGTCAGTTCTGACTCCAAAAATCACTCTGCTGTAGCTCCAGCTCCTTGACCCTGAACTTACTGCCTTATTTTAGGTTTTAACTTCTCCAGTGTATTATAGAAGCTGTCTTGTGGCCTATATTCTTTCCTTTCCCTTCTTTTATAAAGCTGTAGTATTTTCTGCCCATTTGTAATGTTTCTTAACTTCCTTCTGTTTTATAACAATTTTCAACAATTTAGAAAATTTGAAAACCACATGTACCCAGAAAATGTGTTACAGAGAAACGAGCTATGTGGTGTATTGTCTTTTTGTTTATCAGTGCCATGCATACAAGAGTGCATATAATACGCTTTTAAATTTGGATTAGTCTGGGTATTCTTTAATCTTTAAAAAAAATTAATATCTGGTGAACATTTTCTCATGTATTTGTCCTTTTTTTTTGCTCTGTAATGTTGCAGTATTTGTGAGGGTTTTTTTTGGTACTGGGGATCAAACTCAGGACCTTGGCGCTTGCGAGCAGATGCGGTGCCACTGAGCTAAATCTTCAGTCCTGTAATATGTATTATTTAATATCTGTATTATGATTTATGCCTCATTACTGACATTTTGGTCTTTAGGTAGATCCTTTGCCATGTGTTTTTACTTCTTAACATTGCATTCTTAGAGTTTGGTCTGCATTATGGCAGGTTATTACTAGTTGTATTAATGTTCTTTTTCCTCTCTAAAGGCAATGTGGCTTTAGATAATCTACAGATAAAAGAAAATGCTCTGGTAAGTCTTTTTTAAAACTATGCTAATAACTCAGTTAATTTGATTACTACGTATCTGGCACTAGGTACTAGATAAAGTGAGTCACTTTATTTAACAACTTAATGATTTTCTATTGGGAAATCTCAGATTAAAAATATAGAAACATTTTCCCCCTAATCATAAAGAGTATCTTTTGGAAAATGGAACGTTTTTCCTTCACTTAACTTGACTATAGCTTTGTAGTCTACTTTTTTCTTACAGAAATATTTTTCTTCAGAATGATCTTTACATACTTTTCAGCTAAATAAGGGCTTGATTTTTAACAGTTATCTAATGAATTTATCTTTGGAAATAATATATTGATAGGCTAGCCTTACAATATTATGGTAATAATAAGAAATAAAAAGGAATTTTTTTTTACACTTGGTCCAGAAAATAATTTGTCATTTACTGTGGGGCAAACAAGACAATTCTCCTACCCCTATTTGTTTTCTATTTAGCTTGTTGGGCTAAATTTGCATTTATGAAGTTGCTTAAGGTTTATTCTTTCATCACATTTTTAGATTCCTAATTTCTAGTTTATAATGTCTTTCAGCATCAGTTTAATCATCTTTAAAGAAGAATTAATTTATAACAGTAAAATATCTGTGTCTTTGTGGCTTGAATAAGATGAAAAATGAGAGCTGGAAAATTGTAGGTCCTCAGAATATTTAGATCTTCTTTTCCTGTGTTTACATGGCATGTCACAACTTCTAAAATTTTATCAAAAAATTTAGGAGTTATTGTTTTATTGCCAGAGGTCAGAATAAACTTGTTTTTCTCAGTTTATGGCAGTATTTTATAAGAGTGTAAGTATGGATAGAATTATAGAGGTTGGATAGATATTTAATGACGTAGAGAACTCTTTGTTAGCCTAATTTGAATCTACTTTTTCTTTTAAAATTGTTGTATTCATTTACTAAATATTATGAGAGAATTGTTCCGTTACTGTTTTCAACTAATGTGTCTGAGATGACTGTTCCTTTTCTTTTTCTAACATTTCATATAAACTATGTCCATCTGTTTAAGTTAATGGAATTTATATTTGATTTGATTTATTAAAGCCAATGAACCAATTTATCCAACTACATTTTTAAACTATATGTTCTTTAAAGTTTTCTTAATAGTTTTCCTTGTGAATTTTTTGTGCAAAGTTTAGTAATGTGTTTTTTAGCCATAGAATCTTTTCTGAGTTACTCAAATATAGAATTTTTTTTTCCTCTTTAGAAGGCACTGTATTTCTGTATTTGCATGACACTAGAGTAACTTTTGGGTGGCTTGATAATGTACGATGTCCTTTAAATTTTTCTTTTTCCTAAAGAGTGAATTGGATGTTCCTTTTAAAGTCAAGGCTGGACAAATTGGTAAGCACCTCACTTTTCATATGAATTACTCTTATTTCTTTCTGTTTTTTATTTTTCTGTGTTATTTAATCTAAGAAATCTTTTTTAGTGACCAAAAGTGCGAGGAGGTTTTGGCTTATGTTAGAGCTTGTAGAGTTTTGAACCTAATATATATAATACATAATATCTACCTGCATGTTTTTGGCAAAAGGGTAGAAAATTACCCTCTAAGAAAAAGGAACATTTAAACTGCATTCATGGTCTTCAGGCTTGGTTCCACTGCACAGAATACATCTTTAGCTTGAAAACAGATACCCATTTTGTATACTTTATTTGTGAAAGTAGTATAATTTGAAAACTCTATTAAATAAACTTTAAATGTAGCTTATTTCCCTCATGTTTTGTTCAAACATTTTCACTTGCTATGTTATGCAGCAATGTGCTGTGGATGATATGTTTTCGGTAAGTACAAAGTCTTTCTTTGTGGCTACATTCTTACACTAAGATCTTACACATCTAAGTATGTGTCTTTGCTGAAGGAAATTTTCAATAGAAAATTTAATCTACAAAGTTCTTCCAACTAATCCATACTGTCTGAGATATCTATCTATCCATCCATCCATCCATCCGGGATACCTTACTCACACTATAGAATTTTTATTTATGCCATATCCTTCTGCTTGCCTCCAGTATCCCAGTAGTGTATCTCATTGCTTTTCCTCTTCATACAATATTCTGAGGTCTAGGGGGCTTTGTCTTTCATTACTCCACTGTCCCTTAGCAATTACTTATTGATTTGGGTCCCTTTTATATCATTTTTATATGTCCTGTTAATGTAAAGGAACATTGTCATGTTTTTGTCACTGGAAATAAGAGATACTCCCTTATATTGAAAACATCTCAAGGACATGTGCCACCTTTCTGTTTGTGAAGTACTGCTGACTCATTGTGATCTTTAGCAGTGCTCTAAAAATATTGTGGTGACTTTGCATGCTTAATTGAAATCGAGTGTGTAGAAGTTATAGCCATTTATTCATCCTTTTACCTTTGGAATATTTAGATACACACGCTATATCCAAAACCCTAAGTAGTTGTGGGAGAGGCTAGGATGAATATGATATCTTTGCCTTCAGAGAGGTTACAGAAATCTAAAATTGGGACATAAGTTGCAATTGCATTTGCAGTGTATTGGATGAGTTACAGTTGACTAAAGAAATTTTATGTTATTCACTATGTTCTTACAGGTAGATTTGTATCTTGGGGGGGAAGTTTTCTAATGGTTAAAAATTTGTTCTTTTTGCTTTTAAAATGTCCTGAGCACTTAATACCTTTTCCAGAATTATTCATTGAGTTAGGAGAGACCCATTACATATAAGGATGTAAAAGCATATTTTATTTTTATCCTTTTTCTTGGTTTATGGAGCATTTATATACGTTACTAAATTTCTGCTCAGGTTAAAATATTGCACCTAACCCGTAGAGCCAGTGTAGCTAAGTAAGCTGAAGCATGATTTGATTTTCCAAGAGCTAATCATATTTGTGACTGCCCCTTGTTATCTTTGTACTTAAATTAAAAAAAAGTTCTTATCTATGAAAGGAGGGATAATATAATTAACTGAATTCCAGGACCCTTTTGAAGGATGAGGGCTAATGAGTTAGGACAAATGAGGGAAGAAAAGATTTAGGAAACAAGCAGTCCTTTTTTGGTATAGCACTTAGAGGGGCATTTTCTAGTCTCTTGGTCTTATGCTAGGAAGACAGTCAAATACATTTTGTTAGGAGATTGTAAGATAACTGCAAGTAATATCCACTACACACACGCATGCACATATTTACACATATTTGACTTTCATTATAAAATTGTAAGATACAGAAGTGATCTTGAAGCATAGTGGTATTGCCTCTAGATCCTCTTGACCTTGGAGCCAGTTAGGAAACTCAGCAGGGTTACGAGCCAGAGAGAAGTGGAGAAATAAGTTGAGTATTTTTAACCCCAGGATTAGATTCCTAGGGAACGTTGGCTTGCCTGTGTAGCTACCTAGGTGACCAGGATATATTCCCTCTTAAGCTGGTTATATTCTTTACCAGTTCTTTGAACTTTGGGCATCTTCAATTAAAAATTCCATTGATTCTTATACTCTGACTTAGTATGAGTGGAAAGATTCTTCTCTCCTGAAAGTCTTGATCAGTGGTAGTGAGAGAACTCTAGATTTTATAGTATCATTATTTTTAAAAAATTATGAGGAAGGGCTGGGCATAGTGGCACACACCTGTAATCCCAGCACTCGGGAGGCTGAGGCAGAAGGATTGCCACGAGTTCCAGGCCAGCCTGGGCTACATAGTGAGTTCAGGGCCAGCCTGACCTAAAAGAAGGAGACCCTGTCTCAGAAACAAAGCAAAACAATAACAACAACAACCCCCCCCAAAAAAAATTATAAGAAAGGGAGGTATTTTATTTTTGGAACATGGAAAACTTCAGGGATAGGCAAGTCTGGACAGAATTGCTATTAATACTATTGAGGACATCCTGGGCCATTCATTAGTTGCCTGGAGAGCTGGCCAGATAGATACTAGAGATGGGGAAAAGGATGAAGGAGGAAATGTGAGAAAATACCAAAGGCAGATTTTGTCCATTTGAAAATTTAGGTTTCTTTTCTCTCTTTTGCCTTGTATAGAATCTGAAGTGGATTAATAATGTTAGGGCAGTAGCTCATCTATGAGGTGAAAGTTTTTGTGGACTCATCTCTGAAGGACCTGACATTAATAGCATTTTAATCTAAGAGAGCACATGTGTTCTGCACCCAAGTTGTTCATAAGTACAAAGTTTGGTCTGAGTTGTGTAACGTTATTAATGTACTGAACCCTATTCATAAAATAATTGACCTCTCCTTCAGAGCTGGCCTCTTCTCATTGTGGCAGTTCTGTTCCTTGGAACTTTTCCCTGGGTTGCTGCTTCAGTTCCGGGAATCTTGCACAGATACTGCTTTACACTCGGTCTGTAGAGATTTAGTTGTTGGTGTGGGTAGATGAGCATGGGCAACACTTAGCTGGACCCTTGCGCTGAGTTCTGGCATGCTCGCTGAGGGGCTCAGTGGACTTTCGACAGTTTAACCTGAGACTCAGTTTCCTCTTTTAAAAAATTGAAGTAATAGCTGCTTCATTTCCCTTACCATTTTGGAATATTAAATAAGAATTATCAACAAGTTTGACGAGTATAAAACATAATGTGAATGTTTACTTCTACTAGTAATACGTGGAAAAGAGCTTTTAAATTCTAGTGTTGGAATTTTTCTGAGTGATGTATTTACTGTATGCATGGAGAGTTTCATTGATACTTTTAATGAAAAGTAAGAAATTTTTATTTCTTGAGTAGTGAAATAAGGACTTAAAATTAAAATTATGCTTCTTTAGGTAAATTAGCTTTGAAGATTCCTTGGAAAAACCTTTATGGAGAAGCAGTTGTTGCGACTCTTGAGGGATTATACCTGCTTGTTGTCCCTGGAGCAAGTATGTTGTTTTAAGTTATCACAATTCAGTAACATCATAGTGATATTAAGTTGTTACCTGGGTTAAGTATCTAATATATTTAGTAAGATACAAATATATACACATTTGTAGCCATATTTGTATATAAAATATGTTGTTATTATAAAGAATAAATACAGTCTCATTATAAAGAATAAATACAGTCTTATTTTAAATTGAGTCTATTTTCTATGAGTAATTGTTTTGTATCTAAGCTTGTATTTTTTTGGTACTGGGGATCGAACTTGAGACCTTGTACTTGCGAGGCAGGCAGGAGAACCACTGAGCTAAATCCCCAGCCCCATCTAAGCTTTCTGTTGAGATGCATTAGGCAGATTTACTATTAGGGAATGAAATGAAATAAATTTTAAAAAGTGTACTGATGTGTAAATTTAAGGATTTCAAGATGGGAAAATTTATTTTGTAGTCTGTTTCATTGCTTCTAATTTTAAGTGAATGTTCTTTCAAAAATGTGTGTCAACATAGGTAAATTTTTAAGGAAATTATATTATTTTAATTTTAGTGAATTTTTTTGAAATATTGTAGTTTAAATATCTTTAGTTATTAATTTTTTCACTTGGAAGGACAGTGTGTTAAGAAAAATTTGGATGTTTTAGGGAAAAAATTACTTACAATAATTTCCCAAGCAGAGTACAAATACAAATTTTAGTTTTGTTTTGCTTATGAGTTTTTACCATATACATTATAGACCTTTAAGTATCAGCTATCCTATTATATATGCAGCTTTGACCTGGCTTTTTTACTTAATGTATGAAATTTTTATGTTTCATAGTTTTCATAGTATTAGTGACAATTTTGGAAGGCTGTACTTGTTCCACTGCGAACTGCCTACTGTTTTATTGCCATTACCGTGAACACTCTAAATACCCTCTTTCCCAAATCTTTTTACATATTCTTTTGCATTATTTCTTTAAGATACATCATCAGAAATGAGATTGTTGATGTTTATTCCTGAATTAATTTCTGAAAATCTTTTTATCCATGGACATTGGTATCAGGTGGCATTGGATATTAAATCATTTTTATAATTACTAAAAGTTTTATCACTAAGAGGTAGCAACTGCCAGTATTCTCAGATAATTTCTTTCTTCCTCTGTTTCTCTTTTTTATATATCTGTACAACTTTCTCTGTCCTTTCCTTTTATTCTCATCTTTCTTTTCTCCCTTCCTTTCTTGATATGTTTTATAAATCAGTAGGAATCACTATGTTTAAATATTTTGAGAAACTGGGGAATGCAAAAGTTGTTTTAAATTTAAAAAATAAATTATCACACAATTGTAATGAGCCTGAACTTTTCACATTTATTTATTGATTCCATTTCTTTTTGTGTGATTAACTACATATTTTTAGGTATTAAGTATGATCCTGAGAAAGAAGAAAAATCCTTGCAGGATATTAAACAGAAAGAGCTATCCCGAATTGAAGAAGCCCTTCAAAAAGCAGCAGAGAAGGGTAAATAAGTGTGTTTTAGATTATTTAAATAGACTTGTATTTTAGATATATTTAATGTTCTCTAAATAGAATGCTTTCCTAGGCCTTCTTAAGCTGTAGTTCCAAAGAAAGAATCTTCATTTAAAATCATCTCAGAATGCTTATGTAAATATCTTAATGCTTCACACTTAGATCAGATTGCCTTTTTCTTGTGATTGTCTTATCTCATTGCCAATTTGATTTTCTCACTTTAGTTCAATGTTTTTACTGTGTTACCTCAGAAAACTTTGCAAATTCTGTTTAAGTTTCTACAGGCCTCTTTGTTTTGACCAAATGTTAAAGAGTTTTTTTGTGTGCATTTTTACCTGTATATTTGTAACATGATGAGGATAACCATATTTCTGTAGTGAAACCACGTTTAGAAAGACATGCTGCTATAATTGTTGTTTCTGGCTATTTATCTTCATATTGTATAGGGTATTATTTTATTTCTTTCTTTCTTTTTTTTTTTGGTGCTGGGGATCGAACTCAGGTCCTTGCGCTTGCGCAGCAGGTGGCGAAACCACTGAGCTAAATCCCCGGCCCAGGATATTATTTTATTTTTTGAGACAGAGTCTTGCTAAGTCTTCCAGGCTGGGCTTGAACTCCATGATGATCCTCCTGCCTCAGCCTCTCTAGTACTGGAATTATAGGTGTGTGTCACCACACCTGGCTTGTATAGGATATGTTAAAAATTTTTATCCTTCAGGATTCAGCATTCAGGTGACTTACAATTGATTTTTGGTTTGTTGAGCAAGAAACAGTATAAGATGAAAACAGTCATCAATAGAATAATGAGTTGAAGGACTTTCCCAAACATCTAATTTTCTCTCTTTTAAGTCAAATCCTATCACGGTTGTTGATTGGGGTATAAAAATTAATATTCTGCATCATTTTATGTCATTGTTGGCTTTTGTCATTTGGTACATGTTTCTATGATGAAGGAAGATATTCTTTTCTTAAAAGGTAAGGCAGATATTAAGTTACAAATGACATAAATTTAGATGCAACAGGATTTCTTTTTTCAGCTTATGCTGCTGACTTATTAAATCAACAGAAAAATGTCTTAAAAATAGTGTGCTCAGCTGGATATGGTGGCACATTCCTGTAGTCCCAGCTACCCAGAAGGGTGAAGTGGAGGATGGTTTGAGCTTAGGAGTTTGCAGCCAGCCTGGGCAGTGGTGATACCCCCTCTCCAAAAAAAAAGGGTAAAAATAGCTCCTTCCTTAAAGTTCGTTATCAGTGATTGTAATTCTTTTAGTCATAAGTCAGTACACAGAGGTACTGATTCTTTTATAAAAAATTATTAATATGCTCAAATTACAGAGGCTACCATACTGAAGGTGGTGCAGATTAAGTATGTTTTCTTTTTTTTTTTTTTTCTTTTTGGTACCGGGGATTGAACTCGGGTCCTTGCGCTTGTGCAGCAGGTGGCGAAACCACTGAGCTAAATCCCCGGCCCATAAGTATGTTTTCTTAACACATATAATTACATATTCATCAGTAGGCATAGTGACATAATTGGGTAAATTGATAGAATGTATAATGATATAAAATATAATGATATTTCATATATAATATAATTATGTGAGGAATACATTTTCTTTTTTTGATAAAAGTAACTTGTGATTGCTTAAAAAGTATTTTAGTTTTTCCGGTGATCTGCACAAAAGGGATGCTACAATTTCATTGGTTTAGCAGCTAACAGTTTAATTACCAAATGTTAGCTTGCTATACTTTTTTTATGGAGCAACTGTGAAATTTCACCTCCTGAGTCTTTAATGCTTAGCCCCACACTGATGTGTTTGGGTCTGGTGGAGACATTATTATGATTGGATTTATATGTAAAGGATGAACATTTGTCCTATTAGTTTTGTGTAAATAGGTCTATTAAGTCTATATAATTTGTAATAATTACATTGTAGCCTCTTGAATTATACAATTTAGGTTTCGTTGGGGTGAAATTGAAATAGAGAAAGTGAAACTTGGCTTTAATGTAGTATGTTAAATTTATCAAAAAATATTCTGAGTATAAGATGAATTCAGGAGTTAGGAAATATGCCGAGAAATTGTTTTTCCTTAACTGTTGAGAAACACATTTAGTTATCTTGACTGCATATAAATATTCTTTTATAGTTTTTATGGATGAGTCAGATCTTTATGTAATGTTTTTCATGTGAATAATGAAATCCGGCCCTTTACATACTTTACATTTTACCATCATTGATAATTATTACTTAATTATACATTTTTCAAACATTTTTCTACTACTTTCTTGATTTTAAAGTGTGAAAGCACCACCGCACCAGTATAGGGATTCAGAGGGTAAGGAGAATAAGAGGCAATTCAGCCTCGAGCAGCAGATGATAATGAAAACAAAACTTCTCATGTTAATCTGCTCTAAAAAGTGTTTTTTTCTTAAATTTGTTTGCTAAAATAGAGTGTTGCTCGCTCTCCTGTAAAAAAAGTGAAATACAATTTTGATTTATAGAGAATTTGCTTCATTATAAAAATAATCTTTTTGTTATTTTTCTCCTCTTGTTTTACTGCAGTGAGTTTATATTCCTGGGAAGGGTATCACAAAATAAAAGGGAATATTAAATTCCTGGTAAGATTAAAAGATTCCTAAATGTTAGATTCTATTTTTGAAATGTTAATTTTGTCAAAGTAATATACATATATATATATATATATATATGTATATGTGCTTAAACAGCTTTCCCAAAAAAGACTTAAGATAAAAAAATGGCAATTTGCTTTTCTACATTTTGCTCCTCTTCAGACCCACTCCTGCGAAGGAATCACAGTTTTAGCAATGTAAACATTTTGTTGTTGCATAACATTAATATGAGGCATTGTCTAGGACTTCTTGCTGTGATACAGGCTCAAGGAGTTTACATCTGTCACTATCTCCTTTCAACCCAGATTCCCTTCCTCTTTGTCTCATAATTTTGGCCAATTTTAGTTAATATTTACATTACTATGACAATACTATTATTCACTGCACAGGTCAAATGATGTATTATGGTCATGTTTCCTTCTGCAGTCATTTGTTTTTCTTGAATTGTAAATGCTTTTTTATTTGCTTAATTTTCTATATATACTTTTCATTTTTTTTGCATGTTACATGAAATTGGTCTGTTACATGAGCATGGGAATTATTTTCCAGTTGCCTTTACCCTTCTCTTGGTTCTCTCCACGTATACCTTTTTCTCTTGGAGTTTTCCCTTTGAACTGTTTTCTTTTTGTGGTACTGGGGATTGAACTCAAGGCTTTCTGTTAAGTAGGTATATGCTCTATCACTGAGCTACACCTCCAGCCTTGAACTGGTTTTTGTTTTGTTTTTTCAAAGCCCTTTATATACTTGTATTGCTGATATTGTTCTTCATTGCTCTTTTGTGTTTACTTAACTATATATCCTGGTTTCCTTGCTTTTTTTTTTTTCGTTTGCTTTCTCATACTCTATTTTTGCTGTTGTTGTTAGAGACATTTAGTAGCTTTTAATATAATTTTGAAAATTTTCAAGTCTGAATGTCTTATAGCCTTATTTATTTTGTCTGGGGATAGAACCTTAGTTTTAAAATCAGGATTGAAGGGTGCTTTTGAAAAGTCAGATGCCATTCTGCTCTACACTTTGTTGGAAACATAACAATTAGAAAATCCTTATGTCCTCTTACATTTGAATTGGACAGAAAGACCTTTGTATAAAGATAAGCGAATGTGTTGCATCCTGATGAAAAGATGGAGGAGTTACAGGAGTTCAGAATGCATATAACATGTTTAGCCAAAGAGATCAGGGCAGATAATGTCAGATTATTTATTTCAGCTAGATATGAAGAATGCAGAACAGATAAAAGGGATTCTAGATAGAGAGGACAGTGAAGGTGGAAAAGTATGTACTACCTATGGACAGCTGGGGAATTTCTTAGAGTATAGTCGGACATAAGATTGGAAAGCCAAATTTAGGGTAATTTAAAGAGATTTGAATGCCAATGATGATAGTGGTAATGATCGCTGGCATTGTTGAGTATTTACTGTTTGCCAGTCACTCTTCAAAATGCTTTATATGAATTAACTCATTTACTAGTTCCCACCCTATGATATAGGTGCTGTTACTCTTCTGTTTTATAGTTGAGAAAGCTGAAGATTAAATAATTTGTCCTAGATGACACAGTGAGAAAATGGTAGAGCTAGAATTTGAACCTAGTCTGATTCTAGATTCTGTATTCTTTTTTTTTGGTGCCAGGTGTCAAACTCGGGACCTTGTGCTTGTGAGGCAGGCACTAGAACCACTGAGCTAAATCCCTGGCCCCAGATTCTGTATTCTTAATAGTGAACTTTAATCTGTAGCCAGTGGGGGGAGCTAAATTTTCCTTTTTCTTTCTTTAAAAATCCAAGGAGATGGTTTTGCCGCCTGCTGTGCAAGCACAAGGACCCGAGTTCGATCTCCGGTACCAAAAAAAAAAAAATCCAAGGAGGAACTGATCAGACTTATTCAGACAGTGTCTAAAAGGAGCAGATTCTACCAGTGTAAAATGAGGGCATTTCAGCTGACTCTAAAATTAGTGTTGAATATTACTGTTTTGAAAATGGATAAAATGTCAGGCAAAAAGAGAAACCAAGGGCTGGGGATTTAGCTCAGTGGTTCCAGCACCTGCCTCGCAAGTGCAAAGTCCTGAGTTCGATCCCCGGTACCAAAAAAAAAAAGAGAAACCAAAGGAGTAGATTTTTTTTTTATTCCGTTTGAAAATTGATAAAATATTTCAGTGAGACATGAGCCATAATTAATATTTGCCTGCCTTGCTTAATTTATTACAATTTTGATTTAAGAATTTTATTTTAGTATTATGAAAATACAGTTTATATGTTGAAGAATGAAAAGGGTGTCACTCTGACTGTTTCTTCAGAAATAAATGGTTTTGGTGTCGTTGAATTTCACTTGTCCTGTTACATGTTTTCTAATTCTTTGAAAGCAAGTTTAGGTGTATTTAACATGTGAAATTAAAGGTGTCTTTTAAATGCTTTGCGTTTTGGTTATTGCTGCCATGCGGATACAGGCGCACATTCAGGGGAGTTCATATATGGCTTGGAAAACTTGATTTACAAGGACGTCAAGCCTGGTGGGTATGCATGGTTAATTATTCCCAACTATAAAAAATTATATTCTTATCCATGCTTGTGCTTAGAATGGAGTCCATTTGATGGCACACCATCCTTTTGAAAAATATGGAAATGTAATTCATGCTTTCCCCATTCCCATCGTTTCCTTTTTCCTACCTTTTTTCAGCTATTTATTCATTCACTAAACATTTGATTATCATTTTGAGGCATGCATGATGCTTGGTGCCCAGTGTTCACGGGTAAACAGGCACAGTTCACTGTCCTTGGGAAACTCACAATTTGACCTGTTGATCACTGTGAAATTTGTACTGCCTTTGGGATTTTAAATTCTAGCACAGTAGTACAGTTGCTGAATTAAGTACTTCCTCTGTCCTATAGCAGTGGTTTTCAAGCTTATAACAAGAAACAAAATGGATTTTTTGGGGGGGAAGCAGTACTTTATTTACAGCTTTGATAGGAAGTACCCTCTCAGTGTTTCTTCTGATGCCCTCCCTGATCTGTCCCACCTCTGTATTTCTTCTGGAGGCACCTCTAGAGTACTATTCTGTAGAGTACATTGATATTTGAAGCTTCACAGGGGCAGATTGAAGACTGTTTACTACAGTTCTTTCATACACAAGGAAAATTATCAAATACATAATAATTGTAATATAATTTGATTGCTTTTTATACTTTATACTCCAGGAATTTGGTATATTAACCACATTTAAAATTTGGTTTGATTAAATGGCAAGTGGGCCTTGATCTCAAATTTTAAAAAGCATTCTGCTGGAATTACTAATCCACTTAGAAACTTCTCTAACATGTAGGTTCATTATGACAGATGGAAGAAGAGTTTGCATGGCAGATTTATAGCATTAAGTGAAATCACTCGGAAAGCATTTTCCCTTGTAACAAATCTACCCCTTTAGTTGGCTGGCTATATTAATTTACCTTAGTTACTTTAATATAAAAGATAGCATGGAGATAGTCATGGCTCTTTGTCCAGTTTAGTAGGTTATGGTTTTCTGTAGACTGCCGTGCAGTATTTTGTGATCCTTCTAGGAGTGACCTCCCACTAACATAGAAATGAATTCCAGTGGCCCATTCAGGTATCTCACAAAATTGCTGGGTGCTATTACAGAAATCATTATAAAGGAACACCTAATTGATTAGGTTTTCTCCTTCTTTTTTAAGTTGCATTACCCTGGATAAAAAATGAGGTCCAGAATGTTGATGATTCTGAAAGAGAATAGTTAATTTTGTTGATGATACCATCATTTACTTACCTAGGAATTCATGTGTACTTCATGATTATTTCTTCTTTTCAGTTTCCAAATGTGTAATCTTTCCTCATTTGATGTCAGGTTTTGGTTTTTTTTTTAATTCTAGAACAGTGGTTCTTCAAAGTCAAAACTATTTTTGTAATAATGCTGACACATTGTTTGACTCGGCACCGAATCAAGCCTTTGCCCTATTGGAACAAATGCAGTGGTTTGCAAATTACTGGCTTCCTAGCATGATTCAAGGCAGGGAACCACATTGTGTTGGTCATTGCTGTGTTCTTCATCACCATGAATTTTCAGTATAAAACAAAATACCAGTTACTTAAACATTTCTTGAAGTAGGAAATTTTAAATTTTAATAAACTTCAACTCACTTCTTAATCACACGTCTCTTTAATGTCACGTGCAACAAAAGAGCAAGTATAAATAAAACAGGTGTGAAGAAAGTGTTCATGCAGTTGTTTGAATTATGGTTGACCTAGTTGTTTTTTTATGGAAAATCATTTTTACTTGAAAAAATAATTGACATTGTCATCAATGAGATTTGAGTGTATTGTACACTTCAGCAGAACAAAGTAACTGGCAGTATTTGTTGGCAATGATAAAATTTGAACTTCTGAGGAATATTTAGAGTTTTGAAAAGCTTACATTTGCTACCTTGAGCTTGACACTTTTGAAGTACTTAAAAGACTTTTGTGGTGAGACTGGTGGTGATAGTAACAAATGTGACTTTTAATATTAAATAAGGAAAAGACTCGACATTGGACAGGTTTGGACAGTCCAGTTAGGCAGCATTTCCATATGTATTACCAGTGAGTGATTAAAAATCATGGATGTTTAAAAGGTTCATTTAAAGTGCAAGGCAATCTAATTGATTTTAATTCTGGAGAAAAAGTCATTGATAAGGTTTTAGATTCTGTGAGACAACCACCTTTAATAAACTACCACTTGAATTTGAGTGTGGTATCCATAATTACCTGGAAAGGTCCTGAAAATATTTTTATCATATACGTCAGTCAGAACAACATTGAATTCAATCAGGCAGATATGTGAATCCAGCTTTTTTCGGAGCCAGATATTAAAAGGATTAGTAACTATGTGACTCTTCTCACTATAAATTTTTGTTTAGGAGTAGTTGTTTTTCTTAACTATTTGCTATCTGTGTAATCTACATATGTAATAGTTTATTATTTTTAAAGTGAATTAATAAAAATAAAAATTCTGAGTTTTAGGTTTTTAGCATAATAAATATCAATAGTTACAACCCTCAAGAAAAAAAAGCTCTTTCAAACCCTCATGTTTGAAGTGTGTTAAAGGATCCTGAGACAAAAATGTTTGAGAACTGCTTTAGAGCATGATTGAGAATAATAGATTTATTATTCATCAGATTAATTAGAAACTTTCTCTAAAGAACTATGCAGGACTCAGATATGAAACTGCTTGGAGAGGTATGATGTGTATCTAACATTGAGTTCAAAGACATAACATGGGGCTAGAACAAAATTGAAAGTACAGAGAGAACTCGTCAGGTATGAAGACAATCTGTACCTATCTCTGAAAGCTGTTCTAGCCAAGTAGAATGGTGTTTTTTTGGTACTGGGGATTGAACTCGGGACCTTGCACTTGCAAGGCAGGTGCCGGAACCACTGAGCTAAATCCCTGGCCCCAAGTAGAATGGTCTTCAGGGTAGCTTTCTTGTTTCTTTTCAAATGGTATTTGAGAACTCAGTCTTTTTATTATTATTATTTTTTTTATTTTTTGTTTTTTGAGACAGGATCTCCCTATGTAGTTCAGGCTGGCCTTGAACTCACTATGTAGTCTAGGGTGGTCTTGAACTTGCAGTGATTCCCCTGCTTCAGCCTCCCAAGTGCTGGGATTACAGGTGTACACCACCATGCCCAGCGTGTATCTTTAATTTATGAATGAAACAGTGAAAAACTATCACTGTGGCTAGAAATATTATTATTAGTGCCACTCAGATTCTGTTATATATTTTGGTAAATATTTTCTTCTTGAAACTTGGGGTTTATTCCTGTAATCAGAATTCGGTTCTTAATTTTGTAACATAGCAATTTATAAATATCAAGAAAGAACAAAGCAGAAATTTCAAGCTAAATTTCAAATACATTCTCTCAAATGTATGTATGACATTGAGTTTATATATTTTGTTATAATGTTCATGTGTGGATTTTTTTGAATTCATTTTAACAGATAAGCAGTGCCCAAATCTTCTCCCTGTCCTAAGACAAGCAGACTGCCTGACGAAGCCTCCTGCCTTGGGGATAGACTTGTGTAAACACTGTGAATACAGTGTAGTTGATGTTGGCTGGAATTCTGTGTGAGGCTTAGACCCCACTGGGACTTAGAAGAATTAAATACAGCTACACACAGGCAGTAGTGCTGGACCTGAGATTGTGAAGTCTCCTATAATTTTGTTAGTAGGGAGTTTCTGGAAGGCCAACCCAAGTTTAAGGAATGATATTTTAGGCATTAGACTTTGGAAAGATGGCTTATTTTGGAAATCACAAATATTTCTGTAGTTTCCAGTTCAAGGATGAGAGGCAGGAGATAGAAAGACAGGGAGGTAGGAGGTTGGATCACAAAGAGCCCTTTTTTGGTCTTGAAAACACAATTTAATTTTATCTAGTAGGCTATAGAGAGCCTTTAAGTCATTTTGAACAAGGGATTAACAGGCTGTGGTTAGTATTTCAGAAGAAATCAGTGTGGTCGTATAGAAGGACCTTTAGTAGGTGGTGAGGATGGAGACTGGAATGGAAACCATGCAGAGGCTGCCTCAAGGGTTTGGACTGGAGATGATGCTGAGCAGGCCACTGAATGCGAAGATTTGGAAGTTGAGCAAGGCAGGTGTTGGTTAATGCCAGAATTCACTGAGTCATTGCTAGGTAACAAAGGGCAAGGCTTAAAGGGGAATTTCAAAGGCTCTTCAATGTAAGGTTCAGTGAACATTTTATGTTACTCCTATATTCTTTGTATCTTAAACTCATTGGTTTTATTTGTGAGGCATATCATCTGGAGAAAGTCATTTGTTGGCATCTTGCCCACTCATTTCATTTGTGTTCCTGCCACACATTTGTGAAAACCTTTCTCTAAAAGTTTTATAGTGTCATTATTACATTTCCCATATTTTGGTAGTGTTGAAATTGAAGGGAAACTTTGCGAACTCATAAATAAATTGTATAAAGGGTGTTGCAAGTGGATATTTTATCTCATATTTGCATAATTGCACCTTTCAAGTTATTTTTTAGGTTAAGGAAGGCTATTCTTTATTAAAAATGTTATTGTAGATTAAAGAAGGTTTGTGAATTTGTGTTTGTATTGAAATAATTAGTTTAGAATGAGGTAAGGTGAATTGTACCAAAATTTGCTTTTAGGAAGAATTCTCTTATTTTCTTTTCTGTCCTCTTGTCTGCTAACTTGAATTTTATCCTTTTCTCACTAATATGCTTCCACTGAGAAGGACGTAAGCGTAAAAAGCACAAAAAACATTTTAAGAAACGTTTTAAAGGTCTTGATCGCTCAAAAGGTAGGTAAAAGTAGTTTTTATGCCATGTGTTGTTTATACACATTGCCATTTGATTCCTATTTTGGAAGGTAAAATGAATGTTAGATTATAATATAATTTCAAATATAAGTTTCAAGTTGGAAATGCACATTAAAATCTAAAACTACGTAAAAAAAAGTAAAGACGCTAGAATAGGAGTAATCCATGAGTAATGCCATAGCTCTCCTTCAGTCATGCATCATGAGGTACTGTGAGAATTGCATGTTTTGAGCTTGTATTTTCTGTTTTTTATAGATAAGCCAAAAGAACCCAAAAAGGATACATTTTTGGAAAAATTGGCAACTCAAGTAATAAAAAATGTACAAGTAAAAATCACAGACATTCACATTAAATATGAAGATGATGTAAGTAATTTCAGTTTATTTGGTTTAAGTTAGTAATTAAATGTATGTTGCATAATATTCTTGGTTGGTCTATATATCGTTCACCTGTACCCACTTGATTTATTTTTTATTCTTTGCAATACTGAAGATCAAACTCAGTTATTCTCCTACAGAACTACATCCTCAGCCCTTTCAAAATTTTTTTTAGAGAGAGATCTTGTTAAGTTGCCCAGGCAGGACTTGAACCTGTGATCCTCCTGCTTCAGCCTCCCTCAGTGCAGGAATTACAGGCATGTGCTGTTGTGTCTGACTCCTGTACCTAACTTGAATCTGAGATTAATAATGTTCTTATGTGTACACTGCCGTATCTTGTTTTCTGTATTAGGCTACTTTCATTGAGCGTCCACATATGTAAATATGACATAAAACCACCACATGTTGTCCTGTTTTTTAAAATATTGTTTCATGTATTAAGACTGATAACTTTAAGAAACTGATTTTCTTGTTATATTGACAGACAAATTAATTCCTAGAGGTGATTAAATAACCAGTGGTAATGGCAGTCCGCAGAAAGGGGACTAACATCACGGTCCTTTGAGTGTGGTGTCATTCCTTTTACCTTTCACCCAATGGAGTGAACCACCCGCAACCACGCACAATGTGCCACAATATACTTAGAAACCAAAAACTTCACTTTTGACTGAAAATTTAACATTAGTTGATTAAGAACTATTCAACCAATTTAGTTAAAATGTAACAGGTATCTTGAATTGTATATGTGTCCCTTTGTTTAAAAGCTTGAGACAAACCAGGTGTGGTGGCCCACTCCAGTAATGCCAGCCACTTGGGAGGCTGAGGCGGGAAGATTTTAAGTTTGGGGTCAGTCTGGCCAACTTAGTGAAATTCTGTGTCCTGGTAAGATAAAAAAGGCTGGGGGTGTATTTCAGTGGTAGAGTGCTCTTGGGTTAGGAACCTCAAATTTTATTATTCACCCAGGAAAGTGGAAATCTTACTCTGTCTTTTCTAAAAATGAATTTGCATTCTTTTTTGTTCTGGATTTCCCTCAGGTTTGAATTGAATTAAAACAGTACTGACCATATTTGTATATTTTCCTTTCCTGATTAGTTCTCTATAGCTTAATACTTTATAAAACACAGTTGTAGCTTTTCAAAAAAGATCTCTATTTTACAACAACTTTATATTCTGAGTTTATGACGTTATTAAAGTGAATTTTGTTAACAAATGTCTTGCAAAATTCACTTCATAAAAAAGCTCACTTTTATAACAAACTCAGGAAAATAAAATGTACTCAGCTCATGAAAGTGAAAGATTTTTGTTAAAACGATGTAGAGAAATGGGAACCCTTATATACTGATGGTGTCAAAATAAGTTACTTGTTGGAAATGTATAAATGAAGACAAAATTCCCTAATGATAAGAAATGGACTTTTAGGAAAAATTGTACAAAGGCACATCATTTTAAAGGAATCAGATATGTGGGCTTGGAATTGGATATCTTAACTCAAAATAGAATATCCTCAAAGAGATGCCTCAGTTGTATGGTGGGTGATTGATCACTGCTGGTAAAAGTAAACAAAAAATTAAAAGTAGGATTACCATATGATCCAGCAGTCCCACTTCTGGATATATATTCAGAGGAATTAAAATCAGTACTTTGAAGAAATACCTGGAACCCATGTTATTGTGGCATTATTTGCATTAGCCATGATATGGAAACAGTGAATGGGTGAAGCAAATGTATATCTACACAGTGAAATACTGTTTAGCTGAGGGCGGAGGAAGTGATTCTGTCTTGTACAGCAGGATAGATGAAACTAGATGACATTATGTTAAGTGAAGTAAGCCTGGCACCGAAGGACAACTACTGCATGATCTCACTTACATGTGGAAATTGAAAAAGTTGAATTCGTAGTGAGTATAAAGCTGATTACCAGAGGTTGGATGCAGAAAGAGGAGAGGTTGGCCAAAGGCTACAAAGTTTCAGTGAAGAGGAAGAAGTTCTGGTGTTCTGTGGTACTGCATGATGATGATAGCTAGTAACAGTGTATTATTATTAATAATGTCTTTGAAAATTGCTGAGTGGGTTTTAAATATTCTTGTCACAAAGTGGTGGTAAACATGTGAAGGGTTAAATATATTAGTTACCCTGATTTGATCCTTCCACAGTATACATACATTTTTTGAAACATCACATTGTACTTCATAAATATATACATTGTCAATTTGAAAAATGACAGCAAAAAAACCCCTGACACATCACTGGATGAAAGCCTCAATTTGAATCCAAACTAAGCCTTTTACTGACCAAATACAATTAGAAAGATAGATTATTTCTCTCCTTTTAGTAAAAAAGAGATGCACAGGAATAGGATAAGTAACATCAGTTATTTAAATTGGTATCAGTGACAAAATGTTAAAAATACCTAAAAAGAAGAACATTAAAAAGCACAAAGAGCTCTTCTGTGTTCTTTCTTGATGTGATTACCTTATTGTAGCTAGAAAGCTATGAGAAATGCAGAGTATAAGAAGTGGGAAAAATAGCCTGACACGGTGGCACACTTGTGTAATCCCAGTACTTGGGAAACTGAGGCAGGAGGATTGCCATGAGTTTGAGAACAGCCTGGGCTACATAGTGAGTTCAAGGCCAGCTTGAACTACATAGCGAGACTTTGTCTCAGAAAACAAAACAAAACAAACAAAAAAAGTGGGAAAAATAGAACTTATTATAAACATGCCTACTGGCTAATTGCAGTAAAGTGTGGGTAGGGTAGTAGCGATTGTGGAGTTGTGTTTTATTGACATTCCTTCTGAAATAGCTGCAAATTATTTTGAGCTAGTTATGTGTAGGTGCAGAAAGATGAGTGTAGGGAAATAGGAAAATGTTTTGCTACAAATCATTATCTGTATTAATTAAAAATAAAGCTAATTGTGCTTTTCAACTGTACCAGAGCATGCATGCATTCTTCTTGTCTGGGAAGGGTCCATATGACTGAACTCTGGGGTCTTGAATTACTTGGAATATTATACTTTTCCTCTGTCCTTTGCCTTGTTTCTGTTGTGACCAAGCGACTCTTGATGACTTTACAGTGTCTCAGGTAATGACACTGTGCATACTGTGAAATAGTCTAAACGCTTTGTGCAGCTATGACTTAGGTATTGCAGTTCAGAAATAAAAAGTTTAACATGAGTAGATTTTGGGTAAAAAGACTGAGGAAATTAAATACTAAGAATCTAGTTTTTCTTAACAAAGCTTTGTAGAAATGTCAAGAAAAGTAAAGGCATAAAGAGACAATCAGTGTTTCCAAGTGTGAAATTTTGAATGTTATAAGAATAATTTAGTGGCAGTGTTATCTAGTATCTTGTTTTATTTATCTTTGATGATACACATAAAAAGACTTTCCTTCTTAACCATTTAGAGAAATCTGTTTAGTCACTGGTTCCTGTGTCTTCTTAAATTAGGAAAAACATATTAGGGTCATGAAGTATTGTCCTTAGATCTGTGAATACTGCTAGCCATACTGCTGCCTTCTGTGCCTTTCTTTTCTTCCAGTCATTTGGGTTGTGACTTACCTGTAACCATGATTGCTTTCCTCTGCCACCTGTTGGAGTGGGGTTCCCTCTCACTTTCAGTACACTTTAATGTCCCTTTTCTTTGACAGGTCACTGATCCAGAGCGGCCGCTTTCATTTGGTGTTACCCTGGGAGAACTTAGTCTACTGGTAATGTTGCCTTAGTTAAGGTTTTAGTGGAACCTATAAAGTATTACTCTGAAACCATAAGCTGAATTGCCTAAAATCAACTATTTCTACAAATAGCTAATATGTTTTTTGCAGATGATCTTGCTACAGTTTTGTAGAAATTGAACATTTTTAGTGATGCTGTTATTACATTACATTCTCTCATTATTTTCATTTGTCTTACCACGAGTAAATCTAAATATGTTTCAGAATTAATTTAAAATATTAAATTTTAAAATTTAAAGATACAAGTGTATCTGAACATCAGACAATCTGAAAGGAATAAAAATTGTATCATAAATGTGCAAAAAGTGGAGTGGAAAATATATGTAGAGTTTAGTACTCATACTTGATACAGATAAATGGATTTTCTAAATAGCTTGTACATGTGTATATGCTTATGTGCATCTGTTACATTGGGAGATATATAATATAATTAATTTTGATTAGTTATTGTATAAATCAGTTTGTTTCTTTGTTAAAGAATACAGAGATGTATATTACAGGCTGGGTTTTGTTTTTTCTGTTTAGGGCAACTAAATGGTAGGAAACATTTGTGGGGGGCATATAAGTGAAGAAAAATAGCTACACTAGGGTTTTTTTTTTTGGTACCGGGGATTGAACTCCAGTCCTTGAGCTTGTGAGGCAGGTGCAGTGCCACTGAGCTAAATCCCCGGCCCAACACTAGGGTTTTCTATAGAGAAAAAGATATGGTACATACATTTAAAATGAACAATAAATTATACTGGGGAATCTTTGTCTTATTGTTGGCTCTATTGAGAGGACCTCAGGGGAAGAGGAAGAAATGTGGACAGGTGGTTATTGGCAGAGAAACAGAAAGACATAGTTATGGAGAAATAGAGATGTGTATGTGTACGGAATTGAAGAAGGAAGCCAAAACAATGCAGAGAGCTGGAGAAACCAAGCAAAGGGAGTTGGAAGTTAGTGTATATACACAGGCTTTATGTGTAATCCTGTTTCCAAAATGTATTTGAAGTAGCTTTTGATAAAAATGTATACACTAACATTTTAAGAGATCAAAATCCAAGTTCTGAAGGGTAGAGAGATAATTGTTCCAGAAAACTCAGACCAACTTTGAGCTCCTAATAGACCAAAAAAAAAAAAATAAAAAACTGAAGAGTCATGTACTTCCTATCCTGGTAAGAGGGATACTAGACCATAAGAAAGTGTAGTTTCCTTGGCGAGTGCTGTTTGAGCCTCTGTATTTTTTAGACTCTGTACTGTTTTACTTACCTGTATTACTCTCTCGGTCTGCCTGGTGGTTCTACTTAAGTTGGAATGCACTTATTTGCGATACTACCTTGTCTTTTTAATTCTCATTCTCTCTTTTTTTTTTTTTTACTTTCTGTGTGGAATTTATCATTTTCTTTTTCTTTTTTTTTTTTTTGGTACCGGGGATTGAACTTGGGTCTTTGGATTGCATAACAGGCGGCGAAACCACTGAGCTAAATCCCCGGCCCTTTTTCTTTCTTTTTTTTTGGTTTTCTTTCCCGTATTGGGCATTGTGCATGCTGGGCGTATACACTACCAGTGAGCTGCATTTTAGTCCCATTCTCTTGTTTATATTCCCCATTACATTTTATCAAAGACCTGTAACACTTTGTTATACTGATTATCATGTTGATCTCTATCTAAACTATACTTATTCACTGATAGAGTAGTAACTACCTTCTAGTATTTTTGTGATCATTAAGTAGGAGTTTGTGTAAAGCACTTGGCACATTGTCTGACTCAATTATTTCCTGCTTTAGTTTCTACGGTGGCTATTATAATTTTTTTTTTTTTTTGGTACTGGGAATCAAACTCGGGACCTTGTGCTCGCTTGCGAGGCAGGTGCTAGAACCACTGAGCTAAATCGCCGACCCTACAGTGGCTGATATAACAACAGTCATAGCAGACCTCTTACCTCTTTTGTATCTATACCGTTCCTTTTCCTATCTTTTCAAATACAATCTAACCTTTGAATCTACTCTTCCCATGTCTGATCAGGTTCTCATTGTCCTCAGAAACCTTTTCTCCCTCCCTAGCATCCCTATCTTTCTTCTTTATGTCCGTCTCCCTCTTCTAAATCTTCACCCCACCAAACCATTTAAACACATTCATGCCTCCTCTGTACAACAAATTTAAAAAGCCTCTCTTTAATGTCCCCAATCCCTCTCACGCCCTGAAACTACTGCCTTCCCTGTCTCTTTTTCTCAACCAGCCTTCTCGAGAGTTTTCTACCTGTGCTCTCCTCCATTCCCAATCTTTCACTTGCTGCCCCATGTTCTTATCCTTAGCAAGTTCATCAGTAATACCCTGGCTGTTTAATAGTCTTAGAACTTGGCATTGTTCCCCATGCCGTCCTTCAGGGAACATGGCCTTGCTGTCATTTCCATACTCTTCTGGTTTACTTCCTACGTTACAGTAATTACTGTTTTTTAAAAGCATGTGTCTCTTCTTCAGTAGAGTACAGGCTGGCTCTCTGTTTCTGTTTATACCCAGTTCTTTCTACCATTCACTCATTAGCTCAGTAATTTTCTAAATGAATGAACTCAAGTTGTATTTTTTTCGCTGTTCTTTTGATTTTGTCATGCAAATATGTAAAGCATCAAGTAACATTAGCCAACAGTAGCTAGATGTCTTTTCATTATATATTAGTTTGTTCCTACTGGTAGATACTAAAACGCTGTTGTATGATACACACACTACATTTCACAGTTATTTTCCTATTTCTTTTAGACTACAAATGAGCAATGGACCCCGTGCATATTAAATGAAGCAGAAAAAATTATATACAAGGTATTGTATTATTGTTATTAGAGTAAAGTTTTTTTGTTAGTTTCCTAGGTGCAAGCACTTAATGTATTTTCTTGAAGAAACAGTGAAACAGAATTGCTGTTGGTGTGAATTGAAAGTCCAAGGTCTAGTACTGGCTCTGCTTCTTACTGTGTGACTCTGAAGTTTAGGTTCTTCACTTGTCAAGTGAAGAAACGGGATGAAATATTTTCCAGATGGTATTTTATGAAGCATTAGAGATACTATTAGAGATATTATTATTAGGTTTTGTAGAAAAAATATTCTCTGGTCAAGTAAGCCTACTGATTGAAGTAGTAAGATCTCTTTAAACAGGTATGTTTCATTTCCCTGTATGCTACAAGACTCCATGATACTTTAAATATGCTAATAAATGTAGTGAATCGCCTACAGAGATGTTTCCTTAGTGTTAGCTTTCCTCACTTTGTTGGTCATAGGATGCTCTCCTGCCATCCTTCCCTCCTTTTCCCTGGAAACAGCTATTGGTATCTGCCAGAGGGATTGTTTCTTCTGTATCCACCAAAACGTTTACTGGATCTGTTAAATGCTAATTCCCATTCAGTTTAATAATTGAATGAATGAATCTTCTGGAAATTGTGTTCCTGGACATAACAATTTAGCAAATGCTAAACTTAATAATAGAGTCTGTGAATATATTTTCCTTTAAATTTACATTAACTTACTTCCTTTAAAAGTTCAAAATGGCAGTTGGGTAACCTTGGAGTAGTGAACACGAGACTAATCTTTTACCATAGTATTGGTTTAATCCTTCCTATTTGTTCATTGCTTGACCTCTTTCCTTCTTCTTTTATAGCTTATACGACTTGACAGTCTCAGTGCTTACTGGAATGTAAACTGCCACCTGTCCTACCAGGGATTCCGGGAACAGATCTTGGTAATTTCAGAAGAGCCAGCTCCATTCCTTAAATATGTTTTATGACAGAGGCCCTTAATGAGGACAGGCCATAGTCCTTTGTTTAACTTGTATGTCACTAAATTTGAAAATTTTGTTTTGGAAATTTTTACATCTTTAAAACACTTTTTGAGTTGAACGTTTTTGTGAAATTACTCACTAGACAGTGACATAAAAACCTATGAAAGTTAAAACTTCATGTCTGCTTTTTTATACTCATTTTGATGGGATCTTGTTACATTATAGTATTTTATTTGACAATGATTATGAGTATTGTAAAGAAAAATAATACCTTTCAGATGCAAAGTATGTGTCTTTGCAAAGGTTTTAAGCATTTGTGATGATGATTGCCTGATTAGTGGAAGATTAATTGAACTTGATATATCTAGTATTTTGAATTTTAGCCGTTTTAGTGGGTTATAGCAGTATTATCATTTTGGTTTTAGTTTATATTTCCCTGTAGAGTCAAGATGTTTGTACATCTTTACATGTGTTTATTTTCCCTATGGAATTTGTATGTGCTAATGTTGTGCTAATTTATATTCTAATGTGCTAAGCCACACTTAGTGATGTTGATTTACTTTAAGAAGAAAGGAGGAACAGTTGAATTTTCTGAATTGGATAAATCTTAATATTCTGTCTCTTATTTCTTAGAAAGATACTGTGATAAAATTTATCAATTGAGTTTTTTGTTAGTATACTGCTTCTTAATGTAATTTATTTAAAATTCTTGAAAAATACACTTAGAAAAATAAAAAAACAAATCATGGATTGGGAGAAACTATTTGTGTGACATATTCAACAAAAGACCTATACCTAAAATGTGTAAAGAATTCTTGTAACAAACTGTCCATCAAGAAAATAGGGAAGAGATTTGAACAAACACATCACCAAAGAAATTCCCTAGGGCAAACATACATGTGAAAAGATGTAGAAACATCTTGAGTCTGTAGGGAAATACAAACAAACAAAAATGAGATATGCTGCAATACAGTGGAATTCTAATATGTAGCTGGTGAGAATGCCAAATTTGTAAAATCACTTTGTAAAATAGTCTGGCAGTTTCTTGTAACCAGTATTAAACTGAGCATTTGTCCTCCTAAGTATTTATCCACGAGAACAGAGAATTATATCCACATAAAAACTTACAGTCAGATGTTCAGGGTAGCTTTCCTTCTAAGACTACAAACTGTAAACAACCCCAATGTCTATCAGTAGGTGAGTAGATAAATTGTGTTACATCCATTTAAAGGGGAAAAATTATGAATACAATAATATAGATCAGTGTTAAAATAATTACACCGATTGAAAGAAGCCATACCACTCTTCTAAAAAAAGCACACAGAATGCAAATAATCTATAGAACAAAAAGTAAATCAGTGGTTGCCTGGAAGACAGTGGTGGGGAGGGACTGGGGCTTATAAAGGGACAAAAAGAAACTTGGGCTGATAGGTACATTCATTACCTGTATCGCAATGATAATTTCATGAATATACTTACATGTCAAAATGGATCAGATTATACACTTTAAATATGTGTAGTGTATTGTTGTGCCTTATATATACCTCAATAAAACTAGAAAAATAAAGTAAACTAAAACAAAAGGATCTGTGACAAAGTGAAAAAAATGACCTAAAGTGTGGTGTGGTTCAGGAGTTTTATTTCTGGGTATACATCCAAAATGACTGAAAGGAGTCAAACATATTTGTACACCAGTGTTCATAAAAGCAAATAATTCACCTTTGACTAGCAATTGGTAGAAGTATCTGTATATATAGGTTTCTTTTGGAGTCAGAGAGAGCAGGCATGATGGCACACGCCTGTAATCCCAGCACTTGGCTGAGGCCAGAGGGTCACTGAGTGTGAGGCCAGCCTGGGGCTACATAGTGAGCTCAAGACCAGCTTGAACGACATAGTGAGAGCCTGTCTAAAAAAGAAAAAAAGAGAAACACAATACAATAATGTTTGTAGATATTTAGTATTTAAAAAAATTATCAGCTTCTGTATCTTTAGTATGCTAAAAAAAATAGCTATAAATAATACTCAGTGTATTTTTCCTATGGACTAAAAGTTACAAAGAGAGGAATAAAAATATTGATGTATGAACCAAATTGTTTTTTTGTATATGTAGCTGGAATGTGCTTGCAGTTTCTTTTTCTCATAAAATTTAAATGTTTCTTTAGGATCAACTGAAAAATGAAATACTTACAAGTAGAAAGAGACCCCCAAACCATCAATACAGTAAGTACTAGTAAGTTTATTTCGTGTTATAGGAAGAAACTTGTAATAGAATATTTTTCTGTACTTCTCTGATGAAGTTACTTGGATAAAAAGAGCACAGTAATGTTATACCTTAGTTTCATTGATTGAGCACATTTGCTTGCGAGTAGATCATAGAGCATCCCTGCTGGAGAAACAGAGAGGAGGGCCATGAAGCTGTCTGCTCCTTCTAGCCAACCTCCTTTGGCCTCCGTATTTTCTTTGTACTTTGTTGTTGTATTCATTCTAGGACTTAGGTTTTCTTTTTCTTTCTTTTTTAAATAACCCAATATGTGAAATCTTGGTATTAAGCACTCCTCTATGCTGCTATTACTCTCTCAGGGTAAACCAGCCGCTCTTCAAATTTTTATTTTTATTTTTTGGTACCGAGGATCGAACTTGTTACCTCACGCTTGCAAGGCACACAGTGAAACCACTGAGCTAAATCCCCAGCCCACTCTTGACATTTTTAAAGTGAGCTTTTCTATAGTTTTTCACTGCCTCATTTTATTTTAAAAATAGGTCGCTAAGAAAACTGTCTATCCCATCTGTTTTCTCCATTTCAGTTTTATTCTAAAGAAGCTATTGGTTTTCTTTTAGTTACTGTATCACTTTGTAATTGTCCTCAGCTTTGTATCGTGTTCTTCAGTATTCTGCATCAGTCTGGTTTACTTCTGTTTTCTTCCTCCTGTTCTTTTGCTGTTGGATGATACTTGTCATTTTCTGTTACACTCATCATCTCCTCTACTTAATTATGATAGTTTTCAAGTGCTACTTGTTTGTGAAAACATTTAGTTTTATTGATGAATGAACTAATGCAGAAACACTACAACTTCATTCTTAGTGCTTTTCCATTTATGCATAACTTACAGATAAGTTAAAAATTTTTATAATTTTATGCAAATTATTAAGTATCATAACATATAGTTAAAATAATATTCACAGTAAAAATTTATCACCTTGCTTTGCCTTGTCATCTTCCCTAATACACATTTTTTCTCAGCCTCAAAATTATATTATTTAGTTTATTGTAAATAATGTGTGTCATAATGATTTTAAAAATCATAAAGTGGTGATCATTTTTTAGGGTTGGTTTTATTTATGATTCTGTTCCTAAATTATAGCAAGGATTAAATAAGAAAAATTAATTATTTTATTTTCTTTTAATTAGTATTTTTAATGAAAAATAAAATTATTAAATGTACAAGGGACAAGAAACCTAATTTTATACAGACTATGAATAGCTAAAGGTAGATTGTGTTTTGTATGTTTCTTACCTAGAAGTAAAGGACTCCAGTCTGATTATTGGTAGTATGAAGAGAATAGTTACTTTATATACTTTTTGGTAGTGATTTTGTTTTGTATATATTTGATCACTTTCAGAGTAATAATGTTCTCATAATTATTTACATTGTTCATATATAATACCTTATGTCTTCCCATATGATGTCAGTTTTCCAGCCAATATCAGCCTCTGCAAAACTCTACATGAATCCTTATGCAGAAGCAGAACTCAAAACACCCAAACTAGATTGGAACATAGAAGTGCAGAATATTGCCATTGAGCTGACCAAGCCTCAGGTAAGATGCAAGGGGGCATTCGTAGCTTTATTTAGACTTGAATCTTGGCTACTTTTGTCTTTTCTGATTATTCCTTTGTGAAGTCTGGTAGTTCTTTTCATTTGTTGTATGGAAATTTGACTTTTCAAGTAATCTTTTTTTGGAGAAAGAAAATGAATTTCAAGTTTAATAATTATTTTTTTCATTTCATCAGTTCCCCACAGAGTTGATTTTAAATGATGGAGAATCTTATCAAACTATAGTGAACAATATTATTTCCATTTAGTTAAGGATTTTTGGTGAGGAATTTTAATGTGGTTTTCCCTCCCCTAGTTTTTAACAGTAGATCTTTATATTAAATATTGTTTCTTTATTTTTTAAAACAGCTATCTTGGCAGCTTTTTTCCTCCGTTTGTTTCCCTTGCATAGTTGTATGCTCAGCTTGAGTTGCAGATCTGGAGACTTGGATGTGAAAGGTGGTCAGGAGATTTTAGCTCAGTGCTGAGAAGTTACTATAAGTCATTTTTGTAATGTTAGATTTTCTGGTAGCAACATTAGGAAAGTAAAAAGATGAAATTAACCTTATAACCTATTTTATTTGACCTAATATTTCCAAAATCTTATCATTTCACCATGAAATCAACATAAAAAATTATAATGAAATATTTTACATCCTTTCCCTCCCCCTTCACTCTTTGAAATATGGAATATATGTTTACTTAAATTACATTGAAGTTTAGACTAAACTCAAGTGCGGATAGTCACATTGTAGGTAACTCTTGAATTGCTTTAAGAAAATCAAGGAGGAAGCTAGACTTGCTCTTTCTCTGTCTTGGCTGCATTCATGTTAGCTCTGTGTGTATGTCCCGCCATTTGAGGTGTTTATCAGGTCCACAGAGTTGCTGTAGTGATGGTAAGATTAAATAGTTTTATCCTGTTTAGTTACACAGTGGTTTCCTGGGTCAGTTTGAAAATTAACTCACAGATAGCTGCTAGTGAAGGTATGATCCACAAGAAATGCAAATAGTTTTAGAAATAAAGTATTTCAGAAATAAGTGGAAATAAGTAGTTAAAAATAAGTAGGAATAAGTAGTTCAGGGAGGTTGGAGTCTTATTAGAGAGAAAAATACAATAAAATTTGATTTTTATTGAAAAAGTGTGCAATATAATAAGCCTAATTTTTTGTTTTGTTTTAATAGTACTTAAGTATGATTGACCTTTTGGAGTCAGTGGATTATATGGTTAGAAATGCCCCTTATAGGAAATACAAACCTAATTTACCACTTCACACCAATTGTAGACAATGGTAAGTTTAACCTTGCTTTTTTATTTTATGAGAAACATATAAAGTCATACAGTTAGGGACTGTCAGAATTAAGAGACCTTTAAGCCATGTAGTGCAGCCACTTAGAAAAAAATAGCCCCTCCTCCCCAAAAAAGCCAAGGAGGGACATCTTTTAGATGGCTATGGTACTTTTTCTCATAAGCACATACTCTTGTGTTCTTGCACCTACAGTCCCAAATTTTAAACTTAATATTTAAGATTTTTAACATTTTAAAAAACCCTTATTGCTCTTCCGTCACCTACGTGGATTTAATGTTATAACCATATTGGAATACAGTCATGTGTTGCTTAACTTGCAAGAAATGCATCTGTGGGTGATTTTTGTCATGTTCTTACTGAATTTACTGAACTAGGACACCTGTGAGGGCAAAGGGATATGTAGTCTTATGGGACCACTATGGTATATGTGATCTGTTGGGTACCAAAGAGTTGTTTTGCTTTGGCATAGCTTCTTCCTGGAGGGTTTTCTTATTGAATGTATTTAAGCCAGAGAATTGTAGTGCAGACTTGCAGTGTTACAGTGGAACTTTTACTGGAAGATATTTAATAATGTAAGGTCTAAAAGTCAAAGTTATTTTCCTTGCTTTTTCTTAAGTGTTTTATGCAGGTGTGCATTAAAAAGTTTTGATTTTCAGGTGGAAATATGCCATTGATTCTGTTCTTGAAGTTCATATAAGAAGATGTACACGGATGTGGTCATGGTGCAACATAAAGAAACATAGAGAGTTACTCAAGAGTTATAAAACTGCCTACAAGAATAAGCTAACTCAGGCTAAAGTCTCAGAAGAAATACAGAAACAAATTCAGGTATGCTTTGTGCACTCTGGTGAGAGCTCTTAATTGTCTGATCACCCTTTAATGTTTATTCTTCGTTTATTTGAATTAAAATATAATTTTAGAACAGAACTCATCTCATTTTATGAGTGGATTTTATGGGAAATTTAAGAGTATTTTTTCCTTTAAACTTTTTTTCCTCTCTCTCCTAATAGCAGATAAAATAAGGTTACTGCAAAGTTTTTTTGGGGGAAATGTTTCTGGTTTTTGTAAAACTATTTAAAAAAATCAGTAACAGGCACATTTATGTATTTATTAGTTAGCCATATTTTACATGGTTGTTAGTAAAAGTCTCATATTTATGTGGTCATGAATTTTGTTTTTTAAGAGTTTAAGGCACTACAGGGGATGTAGCTTAGTGGCACAGCACTTGCCTTGAAAGCTCAAGGTCCTAAGTTTGATCTCTGGGACCAAAAAAAAAAGTTTAAGTTTTTAAAACACAGCTTTTGGTCTTGGGTAAAGGGGTTTATTTACTGTCTTATAAAAGATAGAAAACACACACTGAATACATAATTTGCTTAATGTCATATGATCTGGGTAACAACTCTTTCTGCCGCTGATTGATAATATGAAGAATGAGTTGAATTCTTGGTAGTTTGAAATATATAACTATATAACCAGTATAATATATTAGAATCAGCATAAGTGTTAGAGTCAGATGGATTTGGGCTCAGGACTTGGATATTTACGAAGTATTCTGGTCAAAGACACAAGTTTCTCAGGTCTGCTATTCTCAGAAAGTAGAAACAATACCCGTCTGACAGGGATGTGAGAATTGCGTGATATAATGCGTAAAGCACCTAGAACACAGGTCACCCAGGAAATGATAAATTCTTCCTCAATACTTTTATATAAATTCTCAAACTCAGTTCCTACTTTAGCCTACTTACTGACTTGCAGAAGTTTATATTCTTCAGTTTTGTGTATTTTACAATGGTGCCTTTAGTACAGTAGCTATAAAATAATATGGAAAGGGGGAGAGTAAGAAGTAAGGATAATACCTAAAGCAAGTCCTCTTCTGAAATATTTTTGTTGCCATGTACTTGTATAACTGTCTTCAACTCTTAACGATCTCACAGAAAAATTCTTATTTTGTTATGGTATGGTATTAGGATATGCTTTCTTAAAAAACTTACTTCTTATTGTAGTAGTGTATGTTCCAGTTTGATTATATCACAAGTGTTGGTAGTGGACTAGATAAACCTAGAAATGTTAGAAGAAAAAAATTAACTTAATGATTATTTCCTTTATTTACAAGTGTCTTTTTGTTTTGTAGGACCTGGAGAAGACTTTAGATGTTTTTAACATAATTTTAGCAAGGCAGCAAGCACAAGTTGAGGTAATCATTTTTATTGGTTCATTTGATGTTTTCAACATATCAGTACAGCTCTTTGAAATCTAGGGTCAAGAAATGTAAGTTTTATGGGAAGTTATTCAGATTTGTCCAAAGGAAAATAGAGATTAGGCTTTCATTAATTAATTTAGTGTCGGAAGAACATAAACTGGAGTTCTGGGAAAAAACTAGTAACACTAACGGCAAAATACTTTGAACATTTATAACTCTAAATTTGAAATACATGGAAAAGAATGCAAATAGAAATCAGCCATCATCTTAGCAACTTAGAATGCTTTTGTTAACATTTTTTTGTATAGGGTTCCAGTTTCTCTTTCATGCTTGTATGCCTACTTGGTTTTTTTAATCTCCCATTTAAAAAAACGTTTTGTTTCCTTTTTCTTGTTTTCTCTCCCTTCTCATATTTCTCTCTTCCTCTTTCACTTTCCTTCTTTACAAAATTGGAATCAGTGTGTTTACAATTATTCATAGTTGCTTATTTATTCTAACTTGTGTGCCTTGTTCCATGTAGTTTCTGTGATTCTATTGAATTTTTCAGTAATAAGTTTCAGACAATACAACTTACTATGGAAGAGTTAGGAAATATAGATCAACAATAGAAAGAAAGAGAAACACATTTCCCAGGCTCATCTCACTAGAGGTCACTACTGTTAACACTTTTTTGTATATTCTTTTAGGTTATTTGGAGTTGTGAATTCTCTATACCCATACTCATTTTAAAAACGAGATTAGAGCATATACAGCTTTGCATTTATTTAGCAAGGGCTCATAGAGTTTTTTGGTTTTTCTAGCCTTATGATTAAGAGTGTGGACCTGAGAATCAGAGGGTCTGGATTATAATCCCTGCTTTGCTACTACTAATTGTGGGATTTTTTTTAGGCCATTTAATTTCACCTTGCCTTATTTTTGAAAAATGGAATTAATTATCATTACCTACATTATTGGGTTAATGTGAGGAGTATAGATAATCCCTGTAAGGCAGTTAGATTACTGGGTACCTGGCACATAGTAATTACTAAGTAGATTTTTTCCTCATCATTATTTGCATTAGCATACAGAAATGAACAAAACAAATGTAACTTTTTAATTTACATTCTAGTAAGGGAGAAGGATAATAAGCAAATACATACATGAAGCAAGTAGGAATGGATGTAGAGAGTGCTGGGGCTAGGCAGTGTTGATAGACATTGGTGTTTTAAACTGAGTGGTTAGAGAAAATCCCACTAGGAGATACTTGAGCAAAGAGAGATGAGGTGAGGGAGTCCATCAGAAAGATGTCTGAGGGGAAGGTTTAACCCGGCAGAAAATTAATTAAGGTCTTAATGTTTGCACTCATCTATGGCTTATGTTAAAAGTCTTAACATTTTCCTCATGCTTAGTCTTTATAATTCACTAACCAAACCTTTTCTCTCTACTATAGGATTATTACTTCACTATCAATTTAGAATATTTTATGTTCTAAGTGGTAAAATTATTGAAATTTACTTCTTCAGGGAATGAGAACATAGCGTCTAAATTATTGCCTTTATTCTCTTTGTTGCTGTGTTCTGCTTTTTGGTTCATCTGATAAGTGGGCAAAGAGGAGGAGTAACAGATACAAATGAGGAATTTGTCGAGGAAAGAGGCCGATGTGAGATGCAAGCGCTGTCTTTGTCTATAGTCCTCCTCTCCTGCCATATCAATAGTTAGCCAGAAATGAATGCGAATTCTGAAATACAGTTGCTTTGAACTAATACATTTTGGGTGTGAAAGCATCTTCCTTTTGTGGAACTCTTCACTTTATAAACCTACAATTCTAGTGGCCTTAACAGAGCTCAGAGAAATTTTATTTGAAACCAACTATATTATTGATAAAATGCTAGTAAATTCAGAGAGGAGCCATGTTAACCAAATCATATTGTGAGCATCATTTAAGAAGGAACTGGCTTTTCTGCCAGTTTTAGTCTGATATTGTTGAGTATAGTATATACTTGAAAATGAAGAAAGCGTTTATTTTTTAATTTTAATTTTTTTTTAGGTGATTCGATCTGGGCAGAAATTAAGGAAAAAATCTACTGACACAGGGGAGAAACGGGGAGGCTGGTTTAGTGGGTTTTGGGGAAAGAAGGAGTCTAAGAAAAAAGATGAAGAATCTATGATTCCTGAAAGTAAGTTCCAAGTCCAGTAATTTATTGTACATTCATGAGAAAAAATTATGTGAATTACATCTTAGTCTTTTAATTGAATTTTATTTTAAAATACTATTATTTTGAAATAAAATCAGCTCAGTATACTAAGCATATCAGCAAATATTTAAATACATTTATCTAAAATAAAACTTGAAAAATTATGTGAAATGTAAAATGTTCAAATTAAGATGTTTGAACACTTAGCACTTCTTATTGTTACCTTTTACATGAATATTTAGTGACAAGTTTCACTTCAGTTGTAAAATTCTTAGGGAATTTTAAAATCCTTCTGAGAACTGAATTTCCTTTGTTCTGTCTCTTTACCTTTACCTAACAGGTGAATACCAGGTGCTTGTTTTAGTCAAAGTGGAATATTAGAGAAAATTACCTGGCTGATTAGCTTTATCATTTGTGTCTGTTGATTTTTACCTATAGAACTGAAGAAATTAATTTCTAATTTCTTAAATTACTGTCTTTTCCTTGCAGCTATCGATGACCTTATGACCCCAGAGGAGAAAGATAAACTCTTCACTGCCATTGGGTATAGCGTGAGCACTCATAACTTGACCTTGCCCAAGCAGGTGATTATATAGGTGGCTGAAGAAGTATTTTGATTCATTTCACTGTATTATCTTGAATTGGATTAAACAAGTTATTAACTTTTTAACTGTTGGAAATAATGTCATTGTTAGTTTCAACTTTACTCTTCAGTTGTTAAATGCTTCCAGTCAGGCCTTACCAATTAAAATTTTCTCTTCAACTTTAGATTTATGTGGTTTAGTGAATGTAAGGATAATCTGGCAAGTACTTACTGTAGTTTAAATTAAATCATTAAAAATTTTCTTATTGTGAAATATACCTCATGTACGACTGCAAGAAACCAAAATGTCCTGCTCACTTGATTGATCCAAAAAGAAACAAGTATGTAATTACTGCCAGGGTCAAGATTTAGAATATTGCCACCATTGTAGAACCCTGTACATCTTCCCTTTCTTGCTTTTCAAGGATAATTGATAACCAGTTTTTTATGGTAATACGTTTTTTGATTTTTGCTTTTTATTATAATCACTGATGTTATTTTGTACACATTTATCTATAAAGGGAATTATAAAACACTTGTTCATATTTGGCTTCATTGTTGTGAGCCCCATCCTTTTGTGGAGAGCCTCATCCTTTTGTTGCATTGGGTATATTTTGATCATTTTGTTGCTCTGTAAGATCATTTGAAAGAAATACCACAAGTTACTTATTTAAGCTTCTGTTGATGAACATTTAGGTTGTTCTGTTTTTGTGGTTATTATGAGTAATGCTGCTATGAACTTCTTAATAAGTATCCATATAGTGTGTATATCTAAGATAGCCTGTACAGTATCTACTTAGGGTATGACTATTTGAAATATTGTATTCTTTGAAATAGTTTTGCAATATGGAAAACATTTCTATCAGCAGATAAGAGGATTCTGCATCTTCACCAACCCTTGGCATCAGTCTTTTAAATTTTAGCCATTGTAAATGTTAGGTATGCAGTAGTAGTTCATTAAGGTCTAATTTGTTTTTTGGACAAGGTGTCCCTATGTAACCCAGATTGGCCTTGAAATTGTTACCTTCCTCCTTCAGCTTCCTGAGCATTGGAATTGCAGGCATGCACCACCATGACTGGCTTGGTCTTTTTAAAAGGAAATCTTAGCTGTTCTAGATCATTTGCTCTTATATATGCTATGTAGAATCGTCAGTGTTTTCAAAAGTATGTGCTACCGTTTTGTTAGAGATTGCATTGAGTATGTGGTCATTTTGGGGAGACTAGTGATGTCAGCAGATTGAATGTTCCATTTATTTCTTTTCTGTCTCTGATCATCCATGTCCTATTCCTTTCTTTCTGCCCAAGAGTGCCCATACTATATATTATTTCTTTTAATGCTTGTCTGCTGATAATTAGTTTTACTAAAAATATATCTATTTTCTCTTTTTTCTTGAAAGATTCTTTTTTCTGTGTGTAGAAGTATAGCTTGTTAATTATTTCTTTTCAGAGTTTTGAGACTATAATTCTATTATTGATTGGCCAGCATTGTTTCTCTTGTATATTCAGCTGTTTTACTGTATTGCTTTGAAGGTAATTTCCGAACACTTCTTCCAACAATTTTTGTTGTTTTTGAGACGTGGTTAGTTAGCTTTGTAGCCCAGCCTGGCCTTGAACTCTCTGTGATCCTCCTGCCCCAGCCTCCCAAGTGCTAGGATTATAGGTATGCACTACCAGGCCTGGCTTCCAATCATTTTTTTTTTTCTTAAATTCTTTTATTGCTACATTTTAGGTATACAACACAATTACATTTCTCATTGGGAACTTACACCTTTACATGACGCATCTTGGTTCTTATTTTTTCCCCATTCCTAGCCCTCCCTTCACCCCCTCCACCGTTCCCTATTTACAGAGACTTTATTTCCATTTTTTCCATTTCTCATCATTTTTCCTTTCCCTTCTTTCCTTTCTCCTGCCCCTCCCACTACCCCTACCCCTTTGAACCTTTTCTTCCTATTTTGCATTATTGATTATTCATTCTAATCATTGGTACATTTTGGGTATACAATATAATGACATTCATCATTGGAAATTTGGACCTTTACATAATCTCTCTTGGGTCCCATCTTTCATCCTTGCCCAGCCCTCCAACCCCTCCATTCCTCCCTATTTACAAAGATTTTGTTCCCATTTTTCCATTTTCTCATATTAATTCCATTCCCTTCTTTCCTTTCCCCTACCCCTCCCACTTCCTTCCCCTTTGTCCCTTTTCTTCCTATTTTGCATTACCTATTATACGTTTTAGTCCTTATTTACACTTTCAGTTTATCACACCAGAGAAACTATTCAGTATTTACATATGTGTGTCCTGTTTATTTCACTTAAGAGTATCACCTCAATGTGCATCCACTTAGCTATAAATGTCTCCAATTTCTCATTTTTTATGGCTGAGTAGTACTCCATTTTATTAAAAAAACCACATTTTCTTTATCCAGTCTCCAGCTGATGGGCATTTGGGCTGTTTGCAAGTTTTAGCTATTACAAACTGTGCTGCTATGAACATGGGCGCACATGTATCACTGTGGTATGATTCTTTTAATTCTTTGGGGAAGATCCCCAGCAGTGGAATAGTGGGGTCAAATGGGACTTCCAGTCCTAGTTCTTTGAGGTATCTCCATACTGATTTCCACAGTGGTTGCACCAGTCTACACTCCCACCAGCAGTGGAACAGGGTTCCTCTTTCCCAACAGCCCCGCCAGCATTTGTTATTGGTTGATTTCATGATAGCAGCCATTCTTGCTGGGGTGAGGTGGAATCTCAGTGTTGTTTTCATTTGCATCTCTCGAATGACCAGTGATGTTGAACATTTTTTCATGTATTTATTTGCTGTTTCTTTCTTTTTTTTGTTTTTTTGTTTTTTTGTTTTTTTGTTTTGGAACCGGGGATCGAACTCGTTTATTTGCTATTTCTCCTTCTTTGTCTGAGAAAAGTCTGTTCATCTCAGATACCCAATCTGGATTGGGTCTTCAAATTTGGGAGGTCTGATCTTTTTAAGTTCTTTATAGATTCGAGGTAGTAGACCTTTGTCTGAGGAAAAGCAGGTGAAGATTTTTTCCCACATTGTGGGTTGTCTCTTCACACTGCTGGTGGTTTCTCTTGCTGTGCAGAAGCTTTTTAATAAGAAGAGATCCCACTTGTTGATTGTTTGTGCTAGTTCACGGGCAACTGAGGTTTTGTTCATAAAATCTTTTCCTACACCAGTGTCTTCAAGAGTTCTACCTAACCTCTGTTCCACCTGGTTCAGCGTTTCTATTTTAATATTTAGATCTTTAATCCATTTTGATTTTAGTTTAGTGCAGGGCGAGAGATACAGGTCTAGTTTTAATCTTTGACAAGTTGAAACTCAATTTTTCCAGCACCATTTATTAAAGAGGCTATCTTTTCTCCAGTGAGGGTGTTTCCAATCATTTTTTAAAAAGATAATCTTTTTAATTTAGGTTTTTAGTAATTTTACTGTTATATACTTGGGTTTGCATTTATTTTTGTTTATATTGTTTGAATTTATTAGGCCATCTTGAGGTCTTATGGGAAAAATAATCACTACAGAATTTTTTCTCCTTTCATTCTCTTTTTTCCTTTTGGGATTTCTAATATTCTTACTTGGATCATTTCATGTCTCATGTGTCTCTTCTATATTTCCAAGTTCTTAATTTATTCTTCATTTGAATAATTTCCTCTAATTCTCTCTTGAGCTTATTGTTTATTACTGTTAAACTCATTCACTGAGTTTCTAATTTTTTGTTTTTCACTTCTTGAGGTTCTGTTTAGTTCTGTTTTCCTTTTTTAAAACAACAGCTTTGAAATTCTTTACTAACATACTCAGTTTTGTCTCTCACCTCTTTGAATGTAGTAAGCATCATAGAATGCATCTAAGCTTATACTTCCTCTGAGTGTAAAATTTGACATCTAGAGCCCCTGTGAATATTTATACTTTCTATTGTTTTTGCTGGGTTTGTTTGAACATATTCTGGATCCCACAAGCATATTTGTATGTGTGTCCGATATATTAGATGTTGATTTTGCAAATGATAGATATATTTATGTTTTAGAAATGTAGGGAAATAGAATCTTCCTGTAAGAGGTAGATTCTTCATTTCAGAGAGAACTTGTGTTTCTTCTTGGTTATGTAGCACCAATATGTGGGATCACCTCAGTCTTTTTTAAGGGAATGATGTGATTTGATGCTGTGCTGTAGATCCTGCGAGTCTGCCTACTTCCTGTTCACCTTTGGCCCTGGGCTTTGGGTCCTAGCCAAAGTCGGCAGTCTCATCAGTGCCATCGCTCTTTGCTGGGACCTGATTTCCAGTTTGGGTCCTGCTAGTCTAGATTCACAGTCTCTCAGCTCCCTTGTTCAGTTTTTTTTTTTTGTTTTTTTTTTTTTTGGTACCAGGTATCGAACTCAGGACCTTCCACTTGTGGAGCAGGAGGCAGAACCACTGAGCTAAATCCCTGGCCCCCTTGTTCAATTTTCAAATGCCTCTGGGTGAATCACATCCTCACATTCCAGGGTCATCTCCCTGCTGGTTGTCTGTCCTTCCTCCAGTAATGACTCAGCAACCATTGGGTCAGGATTCTTTTTTTAGTGTCTTGTTAACTTCCTTCAGGCATCAGGTGGATGTTTGTTATTGTTAGGATTTTTTTTGTTTTGCTCAGGCATAAGAAGTCTTGTTATAATGTATCATTGTAACTAACTTTAAAAGTTAAGAAAAATGACCTTTTATATCTTTTATAAATACCCTATTGAAGGGCAAATTTCATTGAATATTCTGGTATTCTTCATTTGTAGTAAGTATGTGAATGTCAGAATCTCCTGCTAGGTCACTTTATATTCAATGTGTTTATTTGAAAAGAAACTCTTAAAGGTTATGTAAACTTTAACAGTGTTCTTTCATTTTTTGTCTGTAGTATGTTGCCAATATAATGACCCTGAAGTTAGTAAGCACCTCTATTGTAATCAGAGAAAACAAAAATGTTCCAGAAATACTGAAAATCCAGATAATTGGCCTGGGCACCCAAGTATGTCAGCGACCAGGAGCACAAGCACTTAAGTAAGTTTTTAAAAACTTATTTCAGTGTTTATCTCTAATAACGATTGTAGGCCAAAAAATATGAATTGTTATTCAGCATAAAAAAGATTAGTAATTGCTCTTTTAAAGTTTCTTTTCTTTTTTTTTTTTTTGGTGTTGGGGATTGACTTGGGACCTTGTGCTTGCCAGGCAGGTGGCGGCACCACTGAGCAACATCCCCAGCCCTAAAGTTTATTTTCTTTATGTATGGCACGATAGTCATTTTGTGTTTGGTTTATTATGGAACTGTATAGGGAGTTCATCAATTATTCTACTCTTTCTCCTTCACAAATATTTACTGGATGCCATAGGGTCCATACTGTGAAAGCTATGCATAGGCACAGTGAATTCTTGTTTTCAAGAAGTATAAGCTGTAGTTAATAAGATATACAGAAAGTTATAATTCAGGAACTGTGTAACATATTAGATGGTTCAAAGTGAGATGGTGCTGTAAAATTAAGTACGTCTTAGTTACTGCTGTGCGGGTTCAGCTGTGGAAGAGGCTCACTGAGCCTGAGAAGGCTTAGAGTGGCAGACAGGAAAGGGTACAGAGAGAAGCTGGGAAGAGGTAGAAGGTGGTGAGGCTGGCATGGGAATAGGCAGATGAATTCTTCCATTTTGCATGAGTTTTTAGTCATAAAACAGTGATTAGACCTGCTGTAGCCCTCTGGGGTTGGCTAAAGTGAGCTTTTCCTGTGGATGATGAGTTAATAACAGCAAGCACAACAGTAGCAGCAGCAGCAGCAGCAGCAGCAGCAGCAGTAGCAATAGCAAAGACTGATGGTGTGGGTAAATGAAAGCCAGGAAAAGGAAGTTGAATTTCACTTCTGGGTAGCGGACTGGGCCCTGATTCTCAGAAGACTGTTTTAAGGGGAAGTTGTATTTCAACCCATTAAATTACAAAGGGTCTTATGACTTTCTCTTTCTTCCTTGGATTGCAGGGTAGAAGCAAAGTTAGAACACTGGTATATAACAGGTCTGAGACAGCAAGATGTTATACCATCCCTTGTGGCTTCAATTGGTGACACTGCATCATCCTTGCTTAAAATTGAGTTTGAAACCAATCCAGAGAACAGCCCTGCCGACCAGATGCTGATCGTCCAGTCTCAGCCAGTGGAGATCATCTACGATGCTGTAGGTGCAGAGAGGATAGGCTCCTTGCTAAAGCTGCCCCGCATTTAGGGTTTGCTGATTTCTCCTCCCTTACATTTAACGTTCATTAGAGCACACTTCTGAAGTTTTTTCTTGTTTCAAAAGCAGTACATGTTTTAGCAGTCAATTTTAATTTCTCACATGCTATTGTTACTTTTCTACTTAAAGTTTATTTATCTCTGCTTTTGTTCAATTTAAAACCCTAATATATTTAAAGAAAAATGAGTTTATTGTACCAGCTACTGCCAATTAGGTACACACTGCTTTTCTACTTCTTGCTTTTAGTGTTTGGAACCTGAGAGCTTGAGGAGTGGGAAGGAGAATTTCCAGTACTATTTATAATGGGCACAAGCATTGATGTTCAGATGTCCCTGAAAGTGCTGCCTCAAGCACTGTGTGTGTGGCTTCGCTATCCCTCAGCAGTGCTCACTGTCCTTTCTGTTTGCTGGCTCGCCACTCCTCCCACCCTCACTGTGTTACTTAGGGTTACAGATGGCTTCCCAGGACATATGGAAGGCAGTTTGTAAACGCTCCAGAACTCACAGTATTGATTGGACTTTTAAAAATTTTTAAATTTTGGTAAAGTACACATAACAAAATTTATCATGTTAAATGTTTTAAAGCGTGTAATAGTTCAGTAGTGTTAAGTTCTGTCATAGTGTTGTATGGCCAATCTCCAGAACCTTTTTCATCTTACAAAAATCTCTTTTTAAAAATTAACATTCTAGTTTTGTATGTAAGTAAGGCCTGAACAGTTTCCCTCTCATTTCCTCTGTAAACTTCAAAGTACAATGGAATCCAGTCACTGTTTCCGAAAGCACTGTTTTACTGACTGATGGGAGGTTAAAACCAGAAGTGATGTCTGTAGCTACCTCCATATGTCACTGGGTCTCCGTGGGATGCACCTGACACTATAATGATATGCAAATGTTGGTGCCTCCCCTGTATGCTTACTTGGTTGTTCTTTGTGCAGCAGGAGATGGAGTAGGACAGAATATCTTTGGATTTCTCATTTCAAAGCTGTAGCTGTTTTGGAGTGAGGTGATGTCTTAATAAGTTATAATATAGAAAGAGTTATGTATAACTTGGTTGTATTTTAAAATTCTTTTACAGAAAACTATCAATGCAGTGGTTGATTTCTTTCAATCAAATAGGGGATTGGATCTTGAGCAAATAACATCAGCTACATTGATGAAGCTGGAAGAAATTAAAGAGAGAACAGCTACAGGTAAAGAATTTGAGTGTCTACATACACTTGAAAACTGTATTCTTATATGAATGTGTTTAAACAGTGTAGGTTGCTTCATTTGTCTGGATTATACAGTGGATACAACTTACTCAAACTCAAATATACTTTCTAGGCTGGGCAAGAAAGAGAGTAACACAAGGTGCACATGGCTCTGCCTGCATTACAGTCAAGGGCCTGTGCCCCAGAGTGAGCTTGAAAAGGAATATAGACCTCCCATCTCTGCTCTAGGGAAGCCACTCACTGTGCTGTTTATGACTCTAGTTTTAAAGATACGTGCTTTTTCGTAACGTGGCCTCTAAACTCAACCCGACTACATTATCTAAGAATTCTCTGTATAAAACACTAGTACTAACCTAATACTGAGTTTACTGTACTGTGCTGTGATGTGATTGTTTACATTGACTATATGCAATTTTCAGCTGAATTGAGAAGCTGATTTATGAGAACTGGCAGTCCTCCTTAATGCCTTTTAAGTAAATTTCTTAGTCTAGGTAATAGTATGATTACATATTTCAGCCTAACCATCTCGTCTTCCTTTTTTTTTTTTTTTCTTTAGGACTAACACATATTATTGAGACTCGAAAAGTCCTTGATTTAAGGATAAATCTAAAGCCTTCTTATCTAATAGTTCCAGAAACAGGTTTCCACCATGAAAAGTCAAATCTTCTCATTTTGGATTTTGGTACATTTCAGGTAGGTATATATGCGTTTTTGTTTGCCTGTCTTTGACAAGGTTGGTGGCTTGCTATCTGATAGCTTGCTCTTTTTTCCCTCAGATTTCACTTAAACTAAACTAAGACTTTTTCTTAGCATTTGTCAAACTTAGCTTAGATTTTTAAATATATATTATATGACTATTAAAACAAACAGAAGTACACTGGAGTTTTCTTTAAGTAGGTGAGTTCCCTTTGAGGAAGGGATTTCTTTTGTTTTTTTTCTGATTGGGGAGAAACAGTCTTACTTTTCCTGAGTTCTCGAGATTAATTATATAGTGTTGTTTGTTGCTTATATATTTTGCCTAAGGAGACCATATGCATATGTTCTATTTGTTTAATCACTGCCACTAACTAAGTAGAATAAAAGAACCCCTAGATTTTGGATTTTGACATTCATGGAATCTGAACCTCTGGAAGAAAGGTGAGTGAAAATTTCAAAAATACAGTCCTGAATTGATCTTTGCTTCCATTGGGAAGGGGGAAAAGAAGTCGAACTGGCCACTGATTTCTCATGGCCTGATGGCTGTCAAGGAACAGTAGGGAGAAGGAAGGAAGCTATTCCTGGTTCAGGGTCCAGAGAGGTGGAAGGAAGGCAGAGAGCCACCTCCTGAGCACCAGGGGATGACTTGCATTTTAGACAGGTTACTTGAGGCAGACAGCTGCGTAACTGATCTAACTAATGAAAATGAGCAAAACTATCAATAAATTAAGCAAATTCTGAATTCCTTAAGGACAGTGTAATTTGTGTATGTTCTGTTGTGTAAAAAACTAAAAGTTTTTTCTCTGTTTTAGCTAAACAGTAAAAATCAAGCTCTACAGAAGACTACTAATTCATCTCTGGAAGAAATAATGGATAAAGCATATGACAAGTTTGATGTTGAAATAAAGAATGTGCAGCTACTCTTTGCAAGAGCAGGTATAGCATGGGTCAACTTTCAGAATATTGAAACTAGTTTGAGCAGCTTAGGTCAGATATATGCATATGTTTGTGCACATATGTCAGCCCTGACAATGATTTTGCACAAATAACCCTGTTGACACTTAAGAAAACCATATAGGAGCGTATTAGCACAAATCACTGTCACAGTTATAAACAGAAACAGTATTTGCCTATTCATCTTAGGGTGGTGTTTGAACACCAATCTGTTCACGAACTGTATTTTTGTAATATGACCATAAAACAGCTCAAAGCACAAAATGGAAACTGTTGTTGGTTTGAGTTCCACTATCTTGATGCTTTTGGAATGTTTTGATGTTGTTTTTCCTTGTTACCTTTATTATTAGATATTTTACCATATTACCCTAGTCTTTATTGCAGCAATATTGCATCTTCTGCTTTTGTAGGTATTGGAGAAATATATATCTACAAAATAATATAGCTGGGACATCAATAATGCAGAAATCCTAAATCTAGAATGCTTCCCAGTCCAGAACTTTTTGAGTGCTAAGATAATGCCATAGGTGGAAAACTCCACATGTGAACTCATGTGCTAGGTCACAGTTAAAACACAGATGTAGGAAAATATACAGTTATCTTCTGGCTGTGTGTATAAGATGGATACTATACATTAGTGCCTTTTGTGTTTACATTTGAGTCACATCCCCAAGGTAAGTCATTGTTTATATTCAAATATTCCAAAATTTAGAAACCCCAAATCTAACATACTTTTGGTCCCACACATTTTGGATAAACAATATTTAACCTGTGGGTTAAGTTTTAAAATTGTAAAGGTAATTTTCCCAAAGACATGGTGTTTTCTCTATCACATAAGTAAAAGACTTTGGTTATTTATATTTTCTCTAGTTTTAAAAGCAACAATTATTTATTAAATATCTTTGAGTATATCATTTTGTGGTAGATTGTTAAGAGAAAAGTAGAGGCATAATTGCTGAATACAGTTTATAATCTAGTAAGAGTGATGAATTTTTTAAAATGTAAAGATAAAATACTGATTTTTGTATATTAAAGGCCTGTTAATTCCTTGAAGGCAAATACACAAATGATTAAATCTGCCCATTTTTGGCATGTATTTACAAATAATTGAATTACAAGTGACAAAAGATGTTCTGTCATTGCCATCAGTGAAGATGTATACAAGACTCTGGTAGCCAATGGGAAATCTGTCTTTAAGATTTTTGTTTTGAAAAAGTGACTACTATACATTTTTATCATAAAATGATAAAACTCATTTTTGCTTTGCAATCATGTGCTAAGCAAGTATAATTGTTGCTCTCAGGAACTCATAAACCTCATTTCTCTCCCCTTTCTTCTTCTTTTTTCCTCCTTTTCACCATAACCACACATCTTAATCACTAATTATGGAATTGAGGTAATTCCTGGTTTTTTTCCTGCTTGCTTTGAAATCCAAGAGTTGTCATAGAAACATTCGCAAACTATATAGAATTATCTTTATATCATAGTCTTTGACTACTATAAATCTGTATTAAAAATATAAATTATTATAGCTCAGTGGTAGAATGGTTGCATGTGTGAAGCCCTCAGTTTGATCCACAGTACTGCAAAAACCAAAAATAAATAAAATAAAAAATAAACTTGTTTCTTGTTCCATTAAATACATACTTTAATTTAACTTGTATGCTGAAAGAAGTAAAAATGGGTGTTTATTGACTGTGTCCCTCACTATTTTCTACTAAGAGAAGTTTTCTGTAGACTACTTCATAATGCATTAAAAGTTATTTATTTTAAATTATTTTTTTTAAAGAGGAAAACTGGAAAAAGTGTCGCTTCCAGCATCCATCAACTATGCATATATTACAGCCCATGGATATTCATGTGGAGTTGGCCAAGGCAATGGTAGAAAAAGATGTTAGAATGGCCAGGTAATATATAAGTTTCTCTCATATTAGAAACCAACAAAGTGAACTTTATCTGTATCAGGTACTGGATAGATTTCTGTGGGAGACAGAAAAAAAATATTCTGTAATGTAGCAGAGATACATTTTAAAGAAAGTGTTTACTTGAGTTATATGTCACCTCTTGAGAAGTCTTATTTAGACTTTCACATAGTTTAAAATTTAGTGATGTGTGTTTTTGAATGGATCCAATTCAAGGTTCATTATCAGTGAAATTAAAGCATAGGGGCCATTGATTTAGCTCAGTGGCAATGCGCCTGCCTTGCAAGAGCAAGGTCCTGGTACCACATACACATAAAAAAAAGCTTAAAAAAATGTCAGGCATGTTTCATCATGAAGACACATAAAATCCTGTGGAAAATCTAAGGGAATAAAAATTAAAACTGGGGCTGGGGGTTTAACTCAGTGGTTCTGCCGCCTGCCTCGCAAGCGCAAGGTCCTGAGTTCGATCCCCAGTACCAAAAAAAAAAATTTTAAAACAATTTTGAACTTAAATAATTATGAAATACTTATGCTCCCCTTTAGAAAAGCCTTTTTGTTAAAGTGTAACTGGCATTCAGTAGACTGGTTCATTGAAAATGTATGATTTGATAAGTTTGGACATTCGTGTATCTCCATGAAAGTTTCACAGGCAAAATAATGAACACATCCATCACCTCCAGAAGTTTCCTTGAACTCTCATACACCCTCTTTCCCTTCCCTATCTAATTCCTCTCCCCTCAGCCAATCCCTAGACAACATTGATCTATTTTCTGACACTATAGATTTGTTAGAATTTTTTGGAATTTTACTTGAATGGAATCATAGAATTTTAATTTTTTTGTTTGACCTCTTTCAGCATAATTAGCGATTCATTCATGTTAGTGCATGTTGTCAGTAATTCCTTCGTGCCCCTTTCCAGGTAGATGTTAAACCAGCCTGTCTTACTAGATAAATCTCACTTGGTAATAATATATTGAACCTTCAAAATATCATGGGCCATAATCTGCAAAAATTTTATTATGAAGTGTTATATCTGTGTTTGTGAGGTATACTGATCCATGCTTTTCTTTTTTGTTTTGATATCAGGGTGGTATTGGTCACCTGGAAGATGTTATTAGAAATTGGTATTGTTTTTTCTTTATATGTTTGGTAGAGTTTACCAATAAAGCCATTGGCACCTGGAGTTTTTTTTTTTTTTGGAGAAGATGTTAAACTACAAATTCTATTTATTTAATAGATTCACATGTATTCACATTGTTTTTTTGTTTTTTTTAACACTGGGGATCGAACTTGGGTCCTTGCGCTTATGGGGCAGGCGGCGGAACCACTGAGCTAAACCCCCAGCCCCACATTGTTTTGAATCATCTTTTGAGTGTTGCAGTTGGTTTGAGTGATTTTGTGTGTATTTTAAGAGATTTGTCTACATTTTTGGGTTTATTGGCATAAAAGTATTCATAGTATTTTCTTATCATCTGTTTAATACATTAATATTTAGTGATGTCATCTCTCTCAATTCTGGTGTAGGTAATTTGTGTTTTCTCTCTTTTTCCTAACATCTGACTAGAGGTTTAGTTACTTTGTTAATTTTCCTTTTGGTTTCAAATATTTTCTCCAGTTGGTTTTTTTTTTTTTTAATTGTCCTCATTTCCACCCTGATGTTTGTTGTTTTCTTCTGCTTACTTTTGAGTTTCATTTGCTTTTCCTACCTAGTTTCTTTAGGTAGCAGTCAAGAGCATCAATTTAAGCCTTTTTTCTCAAATAGGCATTTAGTGATGTAGATTTACCTCTAAATGCTGCTTCCCTTTATCCTAATAACCCTTCTAGCAGTGGGGCATCTGTAAACTTGAGCTTTTCACAGCTTAGTCAGGAAGCCAAAGATAACTTAAAAGAGCTTTGTGAGCAGCAGCATTGAGACAAGCAAACCCAAAGCAAGTACAATGAGCAAGGAAGCAGATCCTGGGGTCATTGACTGAGGAAAGCAGGTTTGTGGCACAGTGTAAACAAATGGCCTGTTGGAACTTACATTTCAGTCAGAGGAGACATGCAATAAGCCAGTGTATAAGTATGTGATTTGTCAGGTCTCCCCAGTGGTGAATATAAAAAGAAAAATAAGAGACAAGGATATAGAGAGCAGTAGGATAGATACTCTTCTATTGATGACAAGAAATCTTGGATATTTGTTAATAAAGTGTATATGGTAGTTTTTTTTTTTGTTTGGTTTTTGGTACTGGGGATCGAACTCGGGACCTTGTGCTTGCGAGGCAGGCTGCGGAACCACTGAACTAAATCCCCAACCCTGGTAGTTTTGTTTTTAAAAAGTAGACAGTTGGGTTTACAGAGGTTTTTTATAAAATCCTTAACATTTTGGCTGCTTAAAAAGGAAATTAAATTGCCTGGAAACTTGATTTAGAACTTCTAGTTAGTTAACAGTGTTGTCATTGTGAGGGCTGGGATTACATAGCAACATGTCTACAGTAACTTTGACTCTAGTGTTCCTTCTCCCCTCTGAAATACTGATAGAGAAGCTGACCTTGAAATCTTACATTTGAATTGTATTTTTTAGATTTAAAGTATCAGGAGGACTTCCTCTGATGCATGTGAGAATTTCTGACCAGAAGATGAAAGATGTGTTGTGTTTGATTAACAGTATACCTTTGCCACAGAAATCATCTATGCCATCTCCAGAGAGGAAGGTAATGGATATGATAGAAATCTCTTATTTTCAATCAACTGCTGTTGTAGAGTAATAGTAAGAAGGCAGTTATAGGGTAAGCTTTATGAGTGAAAGAACCAAAAATACAGAAATGAAAGGAAAATAAAATCTTTCTAAGTTGTAACATATATTTTAAATAACTAGAAATATAAATCATCTTTAAAATGTTGCAAATAAAATAATTGGGATAAAATTTCCTTTATGTCAGACTTAAAAGTTCTGGGTTACTTTGATTGGAATGATCTTTATAGCATAAGTGAAATGCTTATTAGAAACAAACTTTGAGAGGGTCAGCTGATGGTGGTCCCATTTTCCAGGGACCTCTAACATTGTTCATGGCAACTAAATGCTAAACCATGATGAGGAGTCTTATCTGCTAGGGTTATATATAGTTTTTGTCTTTGTAAACGGGGTGGCAATCTTAATTTGTAAATTCCGACCATTAATTGATTATGTAATTTACTGTTTTTTTTGGTTATTGTTGTTTTCATTTTTTTGAGACACAGTCTCGCTGTGTAGTTCAGGGTGTCCTTGAATTCACTATGTAGAGTGGCCTCAAACTCATGGTGATCTTTCTGCCTCAGCCTCCAGAGTGCTGGGAGTACAGGCATGCACCTCCACACCTGGCCATAATGTATTCTGTTGACAGATTTGTGTATTGTGTGTGTGAATTTTTCCATCTCTGTACTTTATTACTTTTCAGTTTCTCACATGTGTATTTAACCCTGCTAAATCAGTATTTTGTTTTTAAACTTTTTGTGTTCTTTGCTAGGTATCGTCAATTCCTGTTACTTCAGGTGGGACGAAAGGTCTACTTGGTACTTCACTGTTGTTAGAGGGAATGGATTCAGGTAAGGAATGTAAAAAGAGTGTTTCTAAATTGTTTTTATTGCAATAAAAAAATAAAGGTATTATGAATGCATTACAGCAATCTTCTGGCTCTTGTTCTAGCTGTGCTGTTAACCAGTGGTGTGACTTTAGCTATTTATGTTTTGAAGGCCGGGTTTCTTTATTGAAACTCTTTTGGTGGTCAACAACATTTACTTAAGATTCTAAATAAGCTACTTTATGTTCTAATCTGTATGTGATCCTTTTTTCCTACCTTGCCTAACTGATCTTTTAAAATTTCAAACTAGAATGTAAGCTTTTCAACATAAGCTTTTCAGTGTCTGTTCTGGTCACTCCCATATCCTTGGTGGCGGACACAGCCTGATACGTGGCAGATGAATCAATAAACATTGCATGGGATACTGAATGATTGAACTAAGACTAGAATGGAGTGACTAAAGGAAAGACAGTACTACTGTTTGATTTTAAATTTTATGATCATATGCTAAACTGAACCACTTTGTGCGACTTTAAAAAAGCATTGAGATATTTTGAGTCTGAATATAAAGAGTTATATCTAATAAATAAACTTTGCTAAGGGAATTTAGGCTTGAGTGTTTTATGCAGTTTTTAGTGGACGGGGTGTTGGGCTAAATGAATGTCTTTTTACTTTAGAGTCTGACGATGAGTATTTTGATGCTGAAGATGGGAATGTACAGGCTGCTAAAAGTATGCAAAGCTCAGAGCTGAAAAAAGCTGCAGAGGCTCCAAATGAGGAGCTTATTAATCTTCTACTCAAGTTTGAAGTTAAAGAAGTACGTATATTTTTTGTCCACAAATATGTTCTTGCCATCATCTTCTGAACTATCTCAAGGTAGAACAAACATCAGGTGTATGAAAATGTGGTACTCATACACACCATTTCAAAGAATGAAATACTTTTTTAAAAAATGAGGTAATAATGATTTGTGGTATATCTAACTTGTTCTGGAAGAGCTCAGAGCTCTTAATTAGGACTTGTATTTTTTTTTTTTTTAAGAAAATTTCTGACATTTATTTTTTGTGGTAGTGGGGATTGAACCCACAAAACACTGAGCTACTTCGCTGGCCCTTTTTGTTTGTATTTAGAGACAAGGCCTTGATAAGTTGTCCAGGCTGTCCTTGAACTTGTGATTCATCTGTGTAGCTGGGGTTGTAGGTGTGTGTGTCACCAAGCCCAACTTACTTATTTTTAACTTTGATTTTTGAGTTAAATAATATTGCTCATTGTAATATTTATAATTTTGAAAAATATAAACATCCTGAATTTCCAACATGCTTTTTATAGCCTTTAAAAGTCATATAGTAAAAGGAATCTTGGAAACATGTTCGTAATATATCATTATTTGGTGGAAAAAGAATATACAGTACCAAGCATATTATGATTCTGTTTAAAATTATGTGTACTATTTTCTTTGATAAGTACAGATTGTTCATCTCTGGGTGGGGTGATTAAGTAATAGATCTGAAAAATGTCGCAGCTATCAGATCTGACATGTGCATACAAATCCAGATACTACTGATAATTTGTTTAAAGAGAGATGTTTTCTGCTGTTAGCCTTCCTTCTCTTCTGTCTTGCTCTTATATTTCGATTCGCAATACCCACAGATCCCTTGACTCTGTTTTCTGGTGCACTCAGGTGGTTGCTCTTCTGTTCCACTGCTGCTATCTGTCCAGTCATCTTCATCTCTGGGCTGCATCTTGGCAGCAGCTTCCTAACTGCTTTCTCAGGTGTTCTGTTGACCATGAGGCAGCCAAAGCCGTCCTTTTAAAGTGAAAGTCAGATCATGGCACTGCTCTGCTCCATGCCCTCCCCTGGCTCAGAGAGATGACTTGTTTCTTGCTGTGGTCTGCAAGGCCTTACACAGGCACCCTGCCTGCCTGTTTGGCATCACCATCAGTGTTTTCTTCCTTACTCCCTCTGCTCCAGCCATGTTTCTTGTATTCCTTCAATAAGTGAGGTGCCGTCCTACACCAAGCATCGGTATTGGTGTTGGAAAGTAGTGGTGAGCAAAGTTCTTGCCTCACCAAGTTTACACTTGTCATTTGTTCTTCCTTATGTACACCAAAGCTCATTCTTTGCTTGCCATTTTCTTGGCCAGGGACACATTTTACTTGTATGGCCTGGTTCTTGATGTCCTTCAGGTATTTGCTCAAGTGTCATCTTACTGGAAAGACTTGACCATCCACCCCAAGATAGCAGTGTTCATTTTTCCTCTCACTCCCTGGAATGTGGGCCACATGAGGGCAAGGAGCATGTCTGGTCTGCTCACCTTGGTTTCTAACTTCTGGGGCAGCCTGATGCATGCATAGTAGATGATACCGAATAAGTATTTTATTGACTGTTGAATGAACTAAAGTGAAAACAGTCAGAGCTATTGAAGAAAAAAAGAGTAATGCTGTTTGAAATACTTTTCTCAGTGTAACTTTTTAAAAACTATTTTAAATGTTTCTGTAGTGAAATTTATCAATTTTTTCTTTTATGTCCTAGTTTTAGTATATATTTAGAAAATTCTCACAAAATACTTACCAATGTTTTATGTATTATTTTATGATTTCATTACTTTCATTTAAGTAATGTATGTGAAGCTTAGTTTTGTATATAAAGTTTGTGCTTAATACCTTACTGTAGTATCTTATTGTTATCTTACTATTTTTGGTTGACAGTTCTGGTTTTTCTTAAGTACATAGTCATATCACCTGCTAATATTAATGTTTGCCTTTTCCACAGTTCTTTTTTTTTTTTGGTACCAGGGATCGAACTCGGGACCTTGTGCTTGCGAGCCAGGCGCCGGAACCACTTAGCTAAATCCCCGGCCCTACAGTTCTTATATTCCACTAATTATCATTACTGTCTGTCAAGTTACCTTCACACTTAACAGCTTATAACACCTATTTTTGTTTGCTCACGATGTGTGGGTTAGGAGTTCCATAAGGACCCATCTGGGGAACTTGGGGTATAATGTCCTTTGTCCTTGGTCAGGTGTTTCCTGGGGCTGCAGGGCCTTGGTGGTTCCCCCAGGACTATGGCTGGTGGCTGCTGTCGGAGCTTAGCTGGGGCTGTTGGCAGAGCACATCCTCCCCAGCATGATGGACTCAGGGCAGCTGAATTTCTGTCATGCCAGTTTCTTTTCCCAGAGTGAGCATTCCCAGGTGGGAGTTTCGCAGAGTTCATTACAGAATCATTTCCTCTGTGCTCTGTTTATTGAAGCACTCACAGTCTGCCCAGATTCAAAAGGTGGTGGCAAAGACCTCCATCTTTTGTTGAGTGTATTAAAGACTTTTTATCTTTGCTGGGGATTTGGCTCAGTGGTGCTGCACCTGCCTGGCAAGTGCAAGGTCCTGAGTTTGATCCCTGGTACCAAAAAAAAAAAAAAAGAAACAAAAAGAATTTGCATCTAAGCACCAAGCTTTATTTTTTTATTGGCTGAATATATTGGCTGTCGTTTCCAGAATTAATTTAAATAGTATGATAATGAGCACTTGTCATAAATTTTCACTTGAGTTGAAATGCTTCTTTTGTCACCAAATGTGATTTTTATTTTGAGAAAATCATATTAAGGTGGACTTTATAAATTCCTCTTTTTCAAAATTTAAAAAAGTCAATAATAGATGTCAAATTTCACCATAATCTTTTACCTATGAATTTACATTCTTGATGATGATAATTTGTAATCATATTAAACAATTTTGTGGTAGTGCAGGGATCTGAGTAAAGTTTTGACTGTATCTTCATGGTGATATGTATGGAGAAAGACTTTGTTTTTATTTGAAATGTGACTTAGATTTCTTATCAGCTTTTCATTTGACCGTGCTAATTCTTTCAGGTAATTTTGGAATTTACTAAACAACAGAAAGAAGAAGATACAATTCTAGTATTTAATGTTACTCAGTTAGGAACAGAGGCTACAGTGAGAACATTTGACCTCACTGTGGTGTCTTATTTAAAGAAGATCAGCTTGGATTACCATGAAATTCAAGGTAATACTCATTAAAAGTAGAAATAATAAAAGTAGCACTTTTGAGTATCTAAAACACTTTTATTTCTATGATAATATCTATTATAAATAATAGCAGATATTGTTCAAAGCACTTTACAAATAACTCATTTAATTCTTACAACAGTACAGTGTTAACATTTCTACTTTTATGTAACTAAGGTACAGATTGCTTATAAAATTTACCTATGGTCAAACAACTAGCAACTGAACCATGAATGAAATCTTACAAGTCTGGCTGTGGGGTTGATATGATCTTCTTGACAAAGACAGAGATAGACAAGGAAGGAGTAAATAGAGATTAAGTAGCTTCCTTTATATTATGTATCTCATGAATGGCAAGACTGAATTTGTCTCTGATCCTATGATATTGAAGTTAAAAAATATAAATGGGAGAATACAAACTTAACTTTCTAAGAAGCTCTAATAGTTTATTCATTTCAGTATATATCTTGTGAGCTCAGATATTTGAGGCCTGAAGGAATGAATTCATGTACAATAGTTAGAATTCTCTAGTGCTTCAGTCAAATATAAAGACCTGTGTTTTATAATTTCACAGTATTTGAAACTGAAATAAATTTCAGTTTAGAAAAGAAATGTTTTATGTTACTAATTGTACAGAAAGAAGGAGTTTATGTTACTGTCTTGAGGGAAAAAATAGAGATGGTAAGTTTTTTAGGCTGTTTTGTCTTGATGGAAGGTTAAGACTCCGAGAGGTCAAGGACACATCATGAGCTATGTCAGAAGCAGGTGTTAGGACGAAATCTATGTAAAGAGGGAAGGGTGGAGGGGGTGAAGGGTGCACAGGTAATGGGGAAAAAAATAAGAACCAAGATACGTCGTCATGTACAGGTCCAATCACCCAATGATAAATGTGAACGTATTGTATACCTAAAATGTACCAATGAAAGAATTAAAAAAAAAAAAAAAAAAAGAAGCAGGAGTTAGGGAACTGCAAGTCCTGAGGACAAGTGGCAGCACAGTGGGCAGCTCACTCCCACGGCACAGCTGTGGAGGCAGTTCCTTGGCACCTCTGCATAAGGGTGGAGAGGACATTTGAAAGACCTCTTGTGTTTAAGCTAAAAAGAAAGTTTCACAGTTTGCTTCTTTTAAAAACCTTTTGTGTGTAATTTGCATCTCTCAGTCCACACAAAGTTCTCCCTAATATAAACCATTTTTTCATAGGATTTTAGAGCACAGAAGGATCTGGTCCAATCTGCTTCTTACATTGTTGAGAAATATGTAGTTAAATAGCCTTTTGTAAGGCTCTATAGGGGTGATCTGGAATTGATTCTGACACCTGTAGTCATTTCCACTGCTTTGCCAATGGACTCATGGCCTTAGAAATATCTGAAGAAATTTTGGTTATTTTTGAACACAGGTGTGAAATCAAGTGAAAATAAATATGCATATTTTAAAGCAAATTAGATGCCCATGGTAAGAACTTGGATTGATTTGATTCTCCATGAGTGATGGTTTTAGTATTTAATAACCATGAAATATTCATAGATATTCTTCAAAGCTTAATTAGCAATTTTTAAAAAAGGAAAATCTAGCAAGTTCTAAAATTTTATCAGAGCAACTTGTTTGAAAATGTTTTTCTTTTTTCTGTAGGATCTAGAAAAAAGCCTCTTCACTTGATTAGCTCTTCTGACAAACCTGGATTAGATCTTTTAAAAGTAGAGTATATTAAGGTAAGGACCATGGTGAGATTGTGTGTTTGTTACAGAGTCTAGACCAGTGACGATGGTCTCTTTTAGAGACGAGTACCCAAACTGCAACCCAAAACACACTTAATTATTGCAAAGTGCCAACACTGAAATTAAACCTGAATACTGAGGTTTTGGTTTAGAAAAAACCAATTTGTACACGAATGTCGCATCTTAAAAGGAAAACAACACAGGTGTCTTAGGTTTGCCACCACTGATTTAGACTGTGCCCCTAGAAAGACTACCACAGCATGTTACTAATGGTTCTGGGTGGCATGTTTTCAATTATAGGGACATCTGTTTCTTTTTCCATTTGTACACTTTGTTTCTCTTTCACTTAATTTATAGAGCTCTTAGAAAGCCAGTAAACCTCTTATCCCCAAATGGGGAAGCCTAGAATGAAGTAGGTGCTGTTTCTCTCTGGGGGCATAATCACATGTCTACACTTGTCTGTGTAATAGGTGACAGTTTGGCTGACTATCCTATATCAAAAAGGAAAAGCAGCTTCTGGAGAGAACTGCCAGGATTGGAAAGGGACTAAGAAATACATCATATGGAAGTGCTGAAGTAATTGATGATATAAGCATCCTTCAAGATTAGTTCATTTGTTTTAGTCATTCACTCACTATTTATTGAATGTCTATATGTTTCTAAATGTACTATCAGGTGATCGGATACCTAGATGAAAAATATTCCTTGTTTTCCAAGAAAATTATAAACAAGGGAGAAATAACAAAATAAAAAATAATTCAAATGTAATGTTGATTGGTTGAAAATATAATCATTGATTTATCTCATAAAGCAAAACACAGAGCATTGTGGGAGCACAGAGGCAGGGAAACAAGCCATGGCAGAAAGCTCTCACAGGAGCTGAGTCTTTTGTGTTTGGATTTACAGTGTTTGTTCCCAGGGAACAAAAGTAGGACTAGTGGATAGTTAGGATGGGAGATAGATTGTTTGATGCAGTATGAAGACCTCATTAAATCAAGGCGATCTCTCATGATTTGATGAGATGTCTTACTGGAGATGTAAATAGACTTAGCAAAGAAGTGATGGGGGGACTTCAGCATTAGGTGATGGATGGACTAGAGGACCTTTACACCTTCCTACCCTTCAGTGTGTATCATATTCACACGTAGCTGCAGTTCCCCAGATGTGAATGATTGTTCTCCCATGCTTGCAGAGGAGAACACATGTGCTCTATTATAGTCAATAATATGGATATTACTTTACAATGATGGTTATAAAAGTAAAAATATAATGTATGCAAAATATACTTTTAGCTAAATATAAATAAATTAATCTGAGGTTATAAAGGGCTTTATTTACTTTGGTCTTAACTCTTCTTTAGAACTTTTTGTTCATGTTTTTAGGCTGATAAGAATGGACCTAGTTTTCAGACTACTTTTGAAAAAACTGAACAGACATTTAAGGTAAGGAATTCTATTAAAGAATATATCGTATTGAAAATAATTATTCTGGAAATCTTTAGTATTCTTTGAGGGATATTCCCTGGGTAACTTGATGACACAATCAAGAACCAATAAAAGTTATAAGTTAACCTTGTAAAACTTAGCATGTGGTTTATGATTCAGTGACGCTATTACTTTGGCTTGCTGCATCGTATTGTAATGTTTTAAAAGTTGCAGTATTATTTCTGAAGAAGAGAATGCTATGGACAAGGGAACAACGATCTATAAAGAGCTAATAAGATTATAAGCCAACCGAACTGCTTAGTGTCTAGTGATACAGGAATGAGAAAGTCTTTAGGACACAAAGAGGGAGGTTAAGTACTTGTGAAGCCACTGCTTCTTAGGTAGTAGTGTACAGAAAGAATAGGCAACAGGTGCTTATGGATTACATGTAAAAAAATAAGAGGGTTGGGAGAATCTGCTGTAATAAGTGTGAATTTTCCTTTTTGTTGTATGTATGTGTGTTTGGCCTATTAGATTTTTTATTTTGAGACAGTGTCTGGCTTTGCATTCCTTTTGGCTCAGCCTCTCAGAGTGCTAGAATTATAGGCATAGTGTTTTTATATCCATTTATTTCCATGCGGAAATGAGAAAATTAATGATTCTTTTCTGTAAGAAGTTTTCAATTTTAATTTGCTGTTAGAATCCACACTTTCTTGGAGGCAATTTGTGTTGCTTAGTTTTTTAGAGTCATTTTTTAAAAATGTACTTTATTATATGTTTCTTTTTAAACGGCAGGACCATTTTTGTAGTTTTAGAAGATGCTTTAGTAACTGAGAAGTCACCCAGTTACCCTGTCAGTTTCCCGGATGCCACGTTTGGAATCATTTCTAGATGTAGTAGTGTGTAGTGTTTGTGGAATTTCTTGTTCTGGCTTAAACTTTTTATAGAATCATGACGAATGGTCTGTTGGAGATCCAAGAAGATATATGTTGAGAATCGGGGTGGCCATGTGAGGCAGAATATAGGCTCTGAGCAGTTTGCTTGAGAAAAGGAGTGATTCTGTAACTCTGTGCCCTAATCTACCTGACTGTCCTTATATCCCCGCCCTCGGGGGTCCTGAACTTTCCTCTGTCTCTTCCTTCCAGGTGATGAAAGGTAGTGATGCAAGCCTGGCCGCCTGTCAGGTCGTTGTGGACACAATCATTTGTCATTTGTCAAGGAAAACTAATTTTCTTTTAAAACGTTTGTAGGTGGCCTTTTCATCTTTGAATTTGTTGCTACAAACCCAAGCTCTTCTCTCTTCTATTAACTACCTGACAGCCATCATTCCATCAAACGGGCAGAACACAGGCGTCCCCACAGAGGTGCAGATATCAGCCGAGAAGCAAAAAAATTCGTCTCTGCAGAAAGGTGGGAAAGACTTGTGTGTTTCTTCTTAACAAGGGTCTAGAACTCTAGAGCTAAATGCACAGTCTAAAACATTAGCTAAACAAGTCTTAAGATTAGGTACTAAACGTCTTCCAACACTTTTTTTTTCTACTTTTGTAGGTCCTTTGTACTCCTATATAACTTTTAAATTTCAATATCCAATTCTTCATTTATAGCAAGTATACACAGACCTGAATTTTTATATATACCTTGTGT